TGAAGTTGGTGCACATCCAGGCATGACCGTATATATAGTGCTACCCCACCCCACCCCATTCCTGTTTTTCTGTCGTTGCGAAACAAAGACATTCCAGTTATTGCTAGCTCCTGGTCCGTAAACTGAGACGTTAACCAAGTTTCGGATATTCCTATCAGATGGGCATCATTAGCGTTGCTAAGTTCACGTAGCTCATCCGTTTTGTTTTGCAAGCTCGCGGCGTTCGTGTATAGACAGTTTATGCTTTCAATTTGGAACGCGTGAGCTTCTTCCTGTTTGTCTATATGAGCCGTGTGTGAGTGGACAGGTAGACTACTTATACGATGTTTACCGAGTTGGTAGTCCCTATCCTTTACACTTTTTTATTGATCAAGACAGTCCACGGGTGGAATTGTCAGCTCCAGCTTTCCCTTGTGCTTGATCCTGCTGTCGTGGGGCCTATCCGGATGCATATGGATGCCAGTTGGCAACCGACGTCTATTGGCACGAAATGCTTCCACAGTTGCAGCTGCCATGTGGGAGGAGGGGAAGGTTATCTTCAACAGCCGGGGCCTAGAGTCTCCGTCTCTCTCGGCTAGTCACATTACCTGATGGGTCAATATGTTCTTGAGTTTTAAGGAATGCTTAATGAATTTCCATTCCCGAATATAAGAGTTTGCTTGAGTTGAGTCCATATTTTCCGGTACACCTTGCACAATGATATTTTGTTCACGAAAGAACGCCTCGCGAGATTCATTAGGGAGGTTCCGGATAAGATTTCGTTCAGAATACGGTATGTCGGGCAGTATTCTCACGTTCCCATCGGACTTCAGTAAGTGACTGGCTAGCAGGACGTCCTCTACGTCGGAGGCATTCTTAAGTGTAACACGAAGCAGCCTCGGGTGGTTTAGGTGGTTAGAGTCCATCCCCTGAATGAGCCGTGTGACGGTCAAAGGCTCTATTCAAGGGAGTTCAAGCCTCTTGTTTAATTCTCCCCAGAGCATCCTATCATTTTTGTCCTGCAAACTGAGAGGAAGGTCGGGGTTGTCAATAGGGTTCATGATTATGACAGAGCCGTCACGAACCGTAATTGATTTCCCAGGTTTTCCAGGGCGTCTAGGTTTGATATCTTGTTGTTTGGATGTCGAGGCACGTTTTCGATTCCTGGGCTCAGTGATGACCCGGCGGACAGTCTTGGGGGTAGACTGTGCAGCCAAAGCCTCAATTGATTTCCGCACGATACTTGGGACGTTCAGTTTCGGCGGGGACGCTTGGGCCTTTTTACTCCTGTTAACGTGAGTTCAACCACCTACAGGATTTTTGGGAACCAATGTCTCATTCAGTCTTCAGTCTTCAGTCTTCAGTAATAAGGATAGTAGGTTGAAGAACCTGTGTTAATCTTGACAGATTTCCTTCCAGTGAAGGTCCAGCTTCTTTTTGAAAATGTTCACTGATGGTGCTGATACCACTTGTTCTGCTAAAGCGTTCCAGTCATTGACCACTCGATGAGAAAAACGGGACCCCACCTTTAGTTTATTAGATCGCGGTTTCAGAACCTTCTTCCTATGACCCCGGAGATTATTAGTGCTGGAGGGAGCAAAAAGATAAGACATATTAAAACCCAGATCATAATTAAAGATACGAAATGCCAGTATAGGGTGACCTCGCGTCCTACGATAAGATAAGGGGAAAAGGTTTAGACGTTTTAAACGCTCATCGTAAGGGAGTTTAGAAAGACCCTTTACTAATTTTGTCCCTACACGCTGGACACGCTCAAGCGATTTAGTATCCTTTATCAGACAAGGGCTAGCTGCTTGGATACAGTATTCTAAGTGTGGCCTTACATAGGTGGAATATAAAATTCGAAACATCTCGTCAAAACATTTAAATGCTCTGCGAAGCGACCATAGCGCGCGATAGCCTTTGGAAGCAACCGCATTGCAGTGCGTAGTAGTTTTTAAGTCGTGACTTATTAATAATCCTAAGTCTTTGTGCTCATGAACGCGTGGCAGACATGTACCATTAGTGGTATAATGGTAACTAATATCGTGCCCGATGTGCATGAACACACTCTTCCTGGAATTAACTTCCAGGCCCCAATCATCAGCCCACCTAACTAATTCGTCTAAATCTGCTTGCAGATAACAACGAACAGTCTCGTTTCTTATTGTTCTCCAGATTTTAACATCATCCGCAAACAATAACATCGACGACTTAAGTAATAAAGGTAGTTCATTATTATACAGAAAGAAAAGTAAAGGGCCTAAGATGGTGCCTTGGGGTACACCACTTTTGACCGGTTTCCATTCGGATAGAGTTCCATTGACCCTCACTCTCTGTCTGCGGTCACATAAGAAGCTTTCTATCCATTCCTGTATAGCACCTGTTATTCCAAAGCTCGAGAGCTTTTGCATAAGACCTAAGTGTGAAACCTTATCAAACGCTTTGCTAAAATCTATGAATATCACGTCGACAGACTGGCCGTTGTCTAGGGCAGCTGTCCAATCCTCTCTCGCAATGAGTAAGTTGGTCAAGCATGAATGCTTGTTACGAAACCCACGTTGCTCGGGAGTTAACAGATTATACGAATCTGTGTGGCTCAGTAGCTTAGCCCGAATCAATTTTTCAAGTAACTTAGCTACTATACTGGTCAGGCTAACAGGCCGGTAGTTAGATACGATCCGTCTCTGACCATCCTTAAATATAGGACTAACTATGGCGTCTTTCCAGTCTCTAGGTAGTTGAGCCTGTGAAAGGGACATGTTGAAGAGCATCGTGAGCGGTCTTGAGATAATGTCCGCAAGCGACGACAGCAAACGTGGGTGTAACCCATCGGGGCCCGGTATCCTACAAGGTTTTAGGTTAGTTATCAAAGGAAGAACAATATCCTCTGTCACGTGCAAAAGTCCTATGGCTGGTATCTCATTGTCAACGGGACAAGTAGTTGTAACACTACACGTAGAGTAGACTTCACTGAAATAGTTTGCAAATGTCTCCGCTTTCGTTAGATCAGATTCAGCCAATAAAGCTGAATTTTCGCTTACCAGTAATGAGGGGATACCATCACTACGTTTCGTCCGCCTTTTAACGTACGAAAACAGTCGCTTCGGACAGGTATGGCTATCGTATGCCAACTGTCGTTCGTAAGCCGTGCGGGATTTAGCTATGGTTTTTTACATATATTCTGGTTTTTTAATATTCGCACTTAAATGATGCCTGACCTGTTGACAAGAATAAGTCCCAGAAGTGTTTCCTACGCTTCAACAGCTTCCGGGTTTCCTTATTAATCCATGGAGGGTAATATGATAACTTACGTGCTGACCATGGGATAAACGGTTGAGTTACGGATTCGAACGTAGACTTAAACCTATTCCATGCATCATCAATCGATCCATCAGCATCGACCGACCAGTCAACTGAGATAGCATAGTCCCTGATTGCCGGAATATTAGCTCTCCAGATATTAGGACGCAGTGGAGCTGATGCAAATTCTATACCATGTATCCGGAACTTAAAGGAAAGTACGACATGGTCACTATTCACCAGTGGTGGAAGGTGTTGAATGTCGACGATATCTTCACAGTGGTGTGTGAGGACAAGGTCTATCAATGACGGAGTCTATATGCGTCGGCTTAACGATACATTGTACAAGTGCACATTGAATAATTGATGACAGAAGAACGCTATCGAAACCCCCACCTGGAGCTATGAGCTCTATCCAGTTTATATGGGGTGCATTGACGTCTCCAACAATGAGACAACATTCTGCTTTACTCCAAGAAAAGACGTGTCTTAGGATAAAGTCGTCAGCGAGACAATACGGACTACGATATATTCCTCCTATCGTCACTAACCCGTTTCTAGACCTAATTGTACAACATACTACCTCACACGTACCACTTACATGCGCCACCGATATGATCGACTTTATGCGGAAGTGGTCCCTAATAAATAATATTATGCCTCCTCCCTTGCGACTTATAACTCTATCACTTCTGATACAGATGTAGCCTGAAATGATTGGAGAACAGTCTATATCTACAGTGAGCCAAGTTTTGGTGATAACAAATATATCCGGATTTAATTCGTCTACCATCAAACGTAGTTCGGACATGTTATTCCGAAGGCTACGGGCATTCGTGTAACACACATTTAAGGTGTTTTTGGAGACATACGTTCTACCCACACAGGTCTCGGAAGCATTGGCTTCCAAGACCTGACTACCCGAAAACCCTTAATCGTAAGGTTCGCTTCACCGTTTAGCCTTCAAGTTTTTAACTCTGTTAGGGCATTCTTCCACTTGATCCGACCCTCAAGTGGCCAGTCAGGTCGAATACGAATGTTTGAGTCACGAGTTTTGCGTGCGTTATTTAGTAATACGTCCCTTTCCTCAAAATTACCGAGTACTAATTTAAGGATCCTTCTCTGTTGGGTTTCGCCTCCAACATACTTACCAAGTCTGATGACTTTCGAAATATGTACCCCTGGGACCTCCTCTGGCAGTATATTTCTGATGAGAGGTCCCACTAACTGCAGGTCGTGGGCATGTCTCTTAGCAGGATCTGTGTCTTTCAATTCTGCCAAGTTCCATATGATTACATTAGGCACCTGTTTAACTTCCTTAAAAGTCGTGTCCACGGCCTTTGACCGTGATGACAGTTCCTGCCGGTTAGCTGCCGGCTTCTTACTGTTAGCTTTCTTTATAAAAGTGTCATGTGGGTCGAGCGAGTTACTCCTAACAACATTTGATGAAGTTAGACTATTTCCATCCACAACAGCATTAAATATTTTCTTACATTTGGACTTGAGCGGCGTTGCCTGATGATGAGGACGTGAGTCCAACGATGACTTATCGACTATACGCGCGCTTTCTTTGGGTATTTTTCCGTCTCTTTGCGTTCAAGGACTGTTCCCTTGGGGAACGGAAAATCTGAAAACACATTAAAGCTGATGTTTCCAGTGACAACTACTTTTGTTATTCAAACCTTCGGGAAATATAGATGACGTTTGAATACCTCAATGACTCTTAAGAAGTGGATAAGCGCGTGTTGCAACACGCTCCAGCAGTGGACGATAACATTAAGGCGTCGTCTTATCTGTGTTCTTCGGCTCTTGATGACTCCCTCTTGTGATTGTACAATAAAAACTGAGTATCTGTCTATAAACTGCTAGTTTCATCGCCTACCAGAGTCATATAAACAACACGGTATGACAGACACTTAATGAATAATTACATTGAAGCGTGGGGTCGTCTAGATGCACATTGTAACGCTTTACTATATTTTTTTTCATATTTATTATTGCTATTTCAACCTCCCTATCTTCCAATGTCGGGGAAAATGTTATCTGTTTTGTGCCATCCCTCCAAAGTTTTCTATATATAGAAAAACCCCAAAACTTTGAGGATTTCTTCATAATAACAAGTATTTGTTATTACTACCGTATTTAGGTCGATTCTTATGTGAGCTATTTCACTAAAACAAGGACTCGTTTCAGGGCTTTTTATCAACTATCTTACATTTGTCGTTTCTGGATAAATAGTACAGTAAAGTTTCACAGAACTGCCTATTTATGGATTCGTTGAGTTACCGTTAGCTAGTTTGTTTTTTGTTTCCTCGTGTTTGAGGCCACTAGTGTGTAGTCCTCAAGCGTTTGATCTCTACTGGTTGATGTTTGCTATTGGCCAGGTGTTCAGTCAACATCGTGGTTTTTTCTGTCCTATCGAAGGTTCCAATGAAATTCAATCCTGTGTAGACTTACGATGGACTTCTGGTTGAGTTGTTGCTGCTCAGACGTGGTGATGCTAAACAAAATTCCCATGTGCAATGGGAACTTACAAATATATTTCGCATCATATCCTTGTTAAAGTCATTTCCAAAATCCCACTGATGAAATTCTTCTATGCCTCATTTTTGTGTAATGCTACACTAATGAGTTTCTGCATATGTAGACAATAAAGCCGTGATATTAGTAAATTTAGGACTCTTTTCAGCCATTGTATCAAATCTGTGACAATAATCTACTTATGTTTTGCCTCTCCTTCCTGGTTGTGACTGCAGGCAGGGTTTCAAAGGATTTGAGCACGAGCACTTACTGTGTTTCTACCGACCTTGTGTTGCTCTGATACTGTGACGACGTCATATGAAGGAAAAGTAGTAGGAAAATCAGATTTGATCATTTCTATTTTTAAATTATTGTTCGGGGATAGTTTTTTCAAGGTCTGATTAATACATTTCTCCATCCAGCAATTCTTTATTTATGCACAAATCAGTGGTATTGTTAACTGTAGTGATTATTAACCAGTAAAATTTAGGATTATATTGATTCGCTGAATTATTTTGTGGGATATAGCTTTTAATGCATAAGTCCTGTCTGAACTGAAGAAATAATCTTTTGCTCATTGCTTATCAGTAACGTTTAAGACTGCTGACTCCACAGAGTCGCTACTAACAGAACAAAAGTCATGATCATTCCTATAATGATCATGTAAAGTGTCAGTGGTCATCGAGAAGTAGCTGTATCGATTATTCGTCGTATATGAATATCCAGGTATCCACAGATAACCATTTCAATTGAGCAACTTACGAAAAAAAATGTTAGAGTCAAAGCTTATTCTCCTCTTACTGATGATGCCAAATAGCAACTAGTCACCATTAACGCAGATCCTGGCAACTTCAAATTTAATTGACTCTCTATTGGTAATTTACCCATAGATTATTTTTAATTTCAATATTTACATTTTCAGAATCTTATATACACCTCAATCAGTTTTGCACCTGTTTTACTTTTTCCTCATTAACGGAATACAGTGAAGACTATAGTTCGTAAAATTCGACCTAGTTAATTAATACAAATGGATCTGATTTGTGATGTACTACGCATAAAATTAAGAGGAAATCAACATCGCCTTCTGTATTTTGATAAAGAGTTGAAATATTTACAGGACCTTATCACATCCACAGTTTCAAAAGGTGAAAGTAGCTCCATATTAATAATTGGTAGAAGAGGTGTTGGTAAACATCATGTAATTTTATGTAGTATGTATATTTTATGGCTTTAGATAATCAAAGAAGCAATAAAAAAAGCAAAAGAAGACCCAAATATTGGCTCCGGGATTTCTGAAGTCTACTTAAACGGTTAGTATTATTTATGATTATGACCAGTAGTTTCTCTTAACATAGGTTTAGTTCACACAGACGACCGTTCTGCTATGAAATCACTAGCTAAACAACTACATAATGAATCCCTATTAAGTAATCTAGTCCAACCAGATCGTAATTCAACTTCTGATTTTCACAACAGTATGATAAATTTGCCTTTCTCTCAACAGCTCAATTCATTTTTAAATGAGGTCCGTCAAAATCATGGAACTCGAAAAGCTATTCTAATTGTCCTGAGTGAATTCGATCTTTTTGCTTTACATCATAATCAGTTGTTGTTATACAATTTATTCGATTGTTGTCAATCTCCTGAATCTCGTATTTGTATTATTGGACTAACGTGCCGTTTAGTAAGTTTTTAATACTTTCTAAAGTTTCTAAAATTAAAAATAATTTCTCAAAAAAGTATTTATAGTGAGATTCATCTTGAATGTGACACTTTTTTTTCAACACATACTGTAACAGGCTATCCATCACCTTCAGTTGGTTTTTGTGTGAATTCCCAAGCACATTTTGTCATCAAACCATTCTTCATTGGAAAATTATGTTTAGTAAAATAAATTCACAAAAGTTGTTTTATATTTTCATATATTGTCCTAAACTATTACTAAAGGTTAAAGTTACTTGACTTCCAATCACAACTGGTGTTACAGATTAAAAACCAACTCCACCTACTTAGGTTAGGGACCCATTGTTGGCTACTATCTCCCGAGCAACTAAATCGTGGCGCTTAAAGCCTTGTACATAAATCCTATACGTAGTAAATGAATTGGGTCACAATATGTGGTGGTCGTGTATGATGTTCAAATTCATCTCCATGATATAGATAAGTCGATGTCTTAAGCCATAGATTCACTATGTAACTGTTAAGTCTCGTTATCCGACTCAGACACTCCTATCGCTTAGTATTCTTCGGACACTTTGCCCCACTCAACTAGTCCCCGAAATCAAAACGTGGTTTGAAAAGGTACGTAGTTATAGTCTAAATAAACCAAGTTGAATAGAAGTGAGTTACGGTAAGAAAAACGTCAATATATTTACAATTTTACACAGGAAAACTCTACTCTTTCAGTTACCCACTGGTTCTGATTGGCTAAGAATGAACCAATGAACGTGCTCCAACATAATCCTGCATATATGTGCTTTAATCTCAATGTACGTGCTGCTGACAACACACTGGATGTCAATTCCTAATAGGGGTTATTATTCAATCATCTTAGTACTGATTCAAGTTATGCGTTCAAACCATTATCTATTTCGTTCTGTTTTGTTCAGAGTTTTATCTTCGAGTTCAATTCTGTCCGTGTACTTAATAGTCTGTTTTCTGAACTCACTTATTGTTATTAAATATCCTCTTTAGCGATATAAACCTGTCTTTTTTCATATTCATTTTTTTCGATATATCCCTAATATATGTAGTCAACTTAGTCATATAACGATGTTAATTTCCGAGTGTTCTTTTGAATTAGTATACTTAAGAATTCAATATTTACATCGCTTTTTTTCTTTTTTCCATATAACATAGGATATTATGGAATTATTAGAAAAACGCGTTAAATCAAGATTTTCACACCGTCAAATTTATCTTACATCACCTGGAGCACCGATTGAGAATACTGATTCTTATGCATCTAACAACAACAATAACGATAATTCACGATCTGAACCATTTAATCGATTTTGTGAAATCTGTAAACATTTGTTAAGTGTTGATATTCATGATCTACCACCACAATTGTGTAAATTGAACTCTAAAGAGCATCGTGAATTAGAGTTGTCAATTAAATCGTGGAACCATCATATTGAAAAATTAATGCTTGATGAAATTGTAATTGATTCGTTAAGACAAGCATGGTCCATTTCAGTAAGCATTAAACGTTTGATCAATCTGTTGGTACGTTTCGTTCATTTATTCACTAAATTCTTATTGTTGTTTTTAATGCTTAAAGCTGTTTTTGAAATTAGCTTTTCCAAAGTAGTAAGTTACTGACTATATAGTATCTGGAGATATAAGCAACAAGAAACTTTACTAGACCAAAGTTTCTTGCTATTTGACAGTACTCGACAGCAAAGCATATCTACGATTTTGCAGGAACTAATCCCCCTCTCTGTGGAATCCCAACCTGCATCACCCAACTTTGTAGTACGAAATGTTACCACTAAGCTGTCTGAACGATCATTGACGTGTGGGACAGATATTTTTAATTGATTGATTGCTGAGTGCTGAAAAATCAATTGTCATCAGTACTATACTATCGAGTTTATAAAATCAAGTAAATTGAAATTCCTTTTTTGTCCTCAACTTACCTTCTTGATGCTTGACCACCAAAATTAATAAGTGTGTATTCTATCAAGTTGTTCACTGATGCCGAATTGATAGAAATATGATTTTTTTAAACGATTATTGGGCATTTAGTTCGATGTTTGTTATTTTGCCTAATAATTTGTATCAGTTGAACAATTTTTTTGTCGATATTATTTTCCCAGCTGATCTGATGTATGTTGATTAATATAACCGAATTCATGATTGACTGGTTAACAACAGTGTTTTAAATAAATGTTTGAAATGTATTAATCTACTAAGTAATACACATGTAGCGAAAAATGTCTGGTTGTCATGCGCAAACGTACCTATTTTTCAGTTGTGTAATAAGTCGTGCTGTTCATTTCAAATCAATACTTTCCATGTTCATTTGAACAGATTCCAATAGTTGCTTCGCTTGGACCTGAACATGATCGTATTGAACCAGTGCAATTTATAGAATCCTTGTGTACATTACAACAAGATTCAAAACTCACTGCACTGAAGGGTAAGTGTCCAAAACCTTTTGTTTATTTCTATTAGAACAATTTATATCGTTGTCCAATATCAAAAGTAGCCTCGTTATCATTAGTATAACATTGCTACAGTCAAGTTTTCAGGGAATTTTCCCCCTCCCTTATTTGTACAGTAGTTAAGATTACAAAAATACCAAATTGTCTGTAGTGGGGATGGGAATCCATGAGTAAATCACACTCTGTTTATTGGTTCGCCCGAAAAATTGTATCACTGGTTTTTTTATTGATCAGCACAATAGTTATCGTGGTTCATTAAGTTATGTGAATTCTTTGTTATGTAAACAGATACTTCATTGTACTTCCTACTCTGTCTATTGCTATTCAATCGCAGTGTGGAGTGGTTCAGTTACCTGCCAAAAATAGGAAGGTAATGCATTTGAATAATTTTACTTAGCTCTCAATTTTGGAGAATCACACTATCGTAAACTCCGCCTGTAGCTCTTCTAGAGTTACTGCCGGTCCCAAGCCCGGGTAAAGGAGGAGGGTTGGGCATGGGGTTAGCGACCCCATCCCGTAGAAAAGCTAACTCGCTAAAAAAACGCTAACCAGAAAAAATAATCCAAACCATTTAAACTCTGCCCTGGGAGTTGAAGGAATAATGACGTCTCATGATGAAAGCCGAAATTCTTCGGAAGTCACGAGACCGATGCACCTTCTAACAACCAGAGCAACACTCTTTATAGGTACATGGAACGTCCGGACAATGTGGGAGACAGGAAAGACCAGCCAAATAGCAATGGAAATGAGGAGATACAACTTGGCAGTACTCGGAATCAGCGAAACCCATTGGACACAAACTGGACAACAAAGGCTAGGTACAGGAGAGATGCTGCTGTACTCCGGTCACGAAGGGGGAAATGCTCCACACACTCAGGGAGTTGCTCTAATGCTGTCCAGAGAAGCACGAAATGCACTTGTGGGATGGGAATCTCATGGACCCAGGATAATCAAAGCATCATTCAGAACAAAGAAGCAAGGGATCACAATGAACGTTATCCAATGTTATGCACCCACCAATGATAGCAACGACGATGATAAAGATCAGTTCTATGAAAGGCTGCAATCAATTATAGCAAAGTGCTCACGAAAGGACCTCACCATCCTGATGGGAGATCTAAATGCTAAAGTTGGAGTGGACAACACAGGATATGAAGATGTAATTGGACGATATGGATTAGGAGAAAGAAATGAAAATGGGGAGAGACTTGCAAACCTATGTGCATTCAACAAATTGGTCATTGGCGGCACAATATTCCCACACAAACGCATACACAAAGCTACATGGATCTCACCGGACCATACCACAGAGAACCAGATAGATCACATCTGTATCAACAAAAAATTCAGAAGGATAATGGAAGATGTGAGAACCCGGAGAGGAGCTGACATAGCTTCAGATCACCACCTGGTTGTGGCCAAGATGAGACTGAAGCTAAAGAAAGACTGGACAACTGGACAAACAGCACTACAAAGGTTTAATACAGCCTTCCTTCGAGATACTGACAAACTCCATGAATTCAAGATAACTCTCAACAACAGGTTCCAAGCTCTACAGGATCTACTGAAAGAACAAGAAACTACTTTGGAGGACAACTGGAAAGGGATAAAAGAAGCACTAACTTCAACGTGTCAGGAGGTTCTTGGTCCTAAGAAGCACCATCACAAGGAATGGATCTCTATGGGGACCCTGGACAAACTTCAAGAAAGGAAGAACAAGAAACTAGCAATTAACAACAGCCGAACACGAGCAGAGAAAGTCAAAGCACAAGCAGACTACGCAGAAGCAAACAGGGAAGTGAAGAAAAGCATTAAAGCCGACAAGCAGAAATACATGGGAGAACTAGCAACGACGGCGGAAAAAGCTGCAAGAGAAGGGAATATGAAACAACTATATGATACAACGAAGAAATTGGCAGGGAGATATAGCAAACCAGAGAGACCAGTCAAAGACAAAGAAGGAAAGACAATCACTGAGATTCAGGAACAGAGGAAAAGATGGGCAGAATACTTTGAGGAACTGCTGAATAGACCAGCCCCATCGAATCCACCGAACATCGAAGCAGCCCACACTGACCTTCCAATAGATATCACTCCACCAACGATCGAAGAAGTCAAGATGGCCATCAGACAAATCAAAAGTGGGAAGGCGGCAGGACCTGACAATATACCAGCAGAAGCACTGAAGTCAGACATTGAAATAACTGCAAACATGCTTCACCTTCTATTCAAAAAGATTTGGGAAGAGGAACAAGTGCCAACGGACTGGAAAGAAGGATATCTCATCAAGATACCAAAGAAAGGAGATCTGAGCCAATGTGAGAACTACAGAGGCATCAGTTTGTTATCAGTACCAGGAAAAGTCTTCAACAGAGTGCTGCTGAATCGGATGAAAGACGCAGTAGACGCCGAACTTAGGGATCATCAGGCTGGATTCCGTAAGGATCAGTCGTGCACAGACCAGATTGCGACAATACGGATCATCGTTGAACAATCAGTTGAGTGGAACTCATCACTATACGTCGACTTCATCGACTATGAGAAGGCGTTTGACAGCGTGGATAGGAGAACATTGTGGAAACTTCTTCGACACTATGGAGTTCCTCAGAAGATCGTCAACATTATCCAAAACTCATACGATGGATTACAGTGCAAAGTGGTGCATGGAGGACAGCTGACAGATGCATTTCCAGTAAGGACCGGAGTCAGACAAGGCTGTCTACTCTCCCCATTTCTCTTCCTTCTAGTGATTGACTGGATTATGACGAATTCGACATCTGAAGGGAAATACGGAATACAATTGACAGCTCAGAATCAATTAGATGATTTGGACTTCGCAGATGACCTAGCCCTCCTCTCTCATACACACGACCAAATGCAGATGAAGACAGCAAATGTAGCAGCAGCCCCCGCATCGATAGGCCTCCACATTCACAAAGGAAAAAGCAAGATTCTCAAATGCAACACGGAGAACACCGACCCAATCACACTTGATGGCGAAACTCTGGAAGAGGCGGAAACATTCAAGTACCTGGGGAGCATCGTTGATAAACAAGGAGGATCGGATGCAGATGTAAAGGCAAGGATTGGCAAAGCAAGGGCAGCATTTCTACAATTGCAGAACATATGGAACTCAAAACAACTCTCAACTAATTTCAAGGTCAGAATCTTTAATACGAACGTCAAGACAGTCCTACTGTATGGAGCTGAAACGTGGAGAACTACTACGGCCATCATCAGGAAGGTACAAGTATTTATAAACAGTTGTCTACGCAAAATACTCAACATCCATTGGCCGGATACTATCAGCAACAGCGTTTTATGGGAGAGGACAAACCAGCTTCCAGCTGAAGAGGAAATAAGGAAAAGACGTTGGAAGTGGATCGGACATACATTAAGGAAATCACCAATGTGCATCACGACTCAATCCCTAACTTGGAATCCGGAAGGGAAGCGGAAAAGAGGAAGGCCAAAGAACACACTACGCCGGGAAATAGAAGCCGATATGAAAAGGATGAATAGCAACTGGAAAGAACTGGAAAGGAAGGCTCAGGACAGAGTTGGATGGAGAATGCTGGTGAGCGGCCTATGCTCCTCGAAGAGGGGTAACAGGCGTAAGTAAGTAAGTAAGTACACTATCGTAACCCATGTTTGTATTTTATTGACTTAAATGTTTTGCTAAATCAAAAATTTAAAGTCAGTAACCATTTATTGTGAACTGCTTTTGTGCTGGTATGTTTCATTAATGAAGTATTATCCGTCAAGATACAATCAGGCTACCTTGATATCCGGATTAATATTGGGGTGAATCTGTGATGGAATAATAGATTTCATATATTGGGGCAACTAAGGCGACGTGGTAGAATGTTTAATCACGAAATCGTGATAGAGAAATCCCAACCAAACTTTTCGAAATGCCAAACCTCTGACTAAGTACTTGGTTATTGAGCTTCATGTTTCAAATAGTATTTACTTGTTATTCACACTGTAGATAATTATACCAACTTTTATGCTCATAAATTAATGGTAAAATGGCATGATGAAAGCATTTGTTCATATCGTTATCTCTCATCTTCAAATGGAAGGTGTCGATTTTCTACTAGAGCATTACTGGTTCCAAGTTCTCTTTGTCAACGAACGAATGAGCAGCCAGACAGTAAAGTTAGCTTTCACAGTGTATCTTTACAACAAACTTGTAGATGCAAATATCTACATGGTTGTTGAGCTGAATCATATTTTCTTAGAATGAAGATCTTATTACAAACCTTACATCTACATAGAAACACGTTATTTCCTTTTGTTCCTGTTCAATAGGTTGTTCCGTATTAGAGCTATTTTTAATTACTGCCATGGTCAAACTTCAAGATATGAATGATGGAAAACCGGTTAACTTTGAGAGTTTGTATTCTGGTAAGTTAGTCTTTTACAAGTCGATACTTAGATATTGTATTTTGGTATGATTCAGTAAAAAAGTGTTAACGGTAGAAAATTGACAAAGAGGTTTTCTTAATTCATATGTATAAAAGCCCTTAAAGGCCCTGGAATGGTCGAGGTTCGGGAGAGTCCGCACTTCTCCGAATCCTCTCACATGGCCGCACGTATACAACCACTACCAATGAAGTCCTACTCACTGCTTGGGTATTGTTTACGAAATCGACAGCACGAAAAGCGAATGTCCGGTGCTTTAACCGGGTTGGTGGATACGGAGGATACACCGAGGGGGAGTTGGGAAACCCTGGTTCCAAATTAATGGTGCACACTGGATCCAGTATCCTGAGAAGAAAAATGGCATATGAACTTATTTTTAGTCACCGGCTACCATGGGACTGCATCTCCTCATGTTGCTCCACTGTTTTGTGCATTGGACCTTTAGGTCAAAAGCTAGGGCAATGGCCTTCTAAGAAAACTACCTGCTTCGGTTTGGGCGCCTGAACAGTATCCCATCCCTCACACAAATTGAATGAAGAAGTGTGGCATATATATATATATATATATATATTCGGTACCTCCTTATACCAGTATTTATGTATTTAAGCCAAGTAAAATCTTTTGATTTCGCACAATAAATTTAGTTTGAAACCGAGTACGTGAATTTATACTGGGTTACTTAGTTGTCTTTTTATCATTATCTGACTCATCAATGCACCACTCTTTAAACACCTTGTTTGATTTTGAAGCTTCACACATAAGGATTATAATAAGTGTTACTCGTAATACATAGAAATCTTATTCATTGTTATACCAGTATTACCTAAAGCCTCATTCATTATTACAAAGAGCGAAGTGTCTTACAGCGTTTATAGCAAATGAACTGATTCACCTGACACTTTTTTAGAATCATATTAGCACTGTTAATCCCAATATAAGCGATTTATGAGAGCTTCTGGACTATTTGATGATCATTATGTATAATTCAGTAACCGACTAATCAGTTATAATCAAAATAATTGAATGACTACTTCGAACTACTACTATAATTTTACTGTCATACAAATGTATTTTGGGAAGCATAAACTTTTAGATTTGGCATAATCAAATTGTTTACGTTATTCTACGATTATTTGTATTCCCGGCTTTCTCTGTATTTCAGTTTTATTTTACTTTTTTCCCTTAGAATACTTAAAGTTTTGTCGTTCCAATTGTCCCGGCCATTTATACGATAAACCTGTTGTTATGAAAGCATTAGACAATCTGATTGACTTTGAACTGATTATATCTGGTAAAGCTGCAGTCACTGCATCCACTGGTCTATCGACCGCTGGATCCAACAATAAAGCAATTTGGAGTTCATCTGCTTTACCAAATTATCGTCCATTATTTTGTTATGTAGACAGTGATACTCTCACCGCTTGTTTAGATACTTATCCGAATTGTCCAGTTGAATTGCGATATTGGATACATTCAAGGACGTTTTAATTAATTCCTGTTATTTTCCACGTCTTTTTTTCGAAAAAAAATTTCATTACATTAGAGTGTAATACTATGTGCAATTATAAAAAATCCATTCAACAGTGTTTGTTTATTTCTATTCAGTGGTAAATCTTCCGTTAATAAGACCGTCAAAAAGTTTTGATTATAAAAGCCAAAGTTAAATTCCAGGAACAACTGAAGCCACACTTGGGCAATTTCGAAAACGAGGCAAACCTAGATGTTGGAAAGATATATGAACAGCTGCGACATCTTTTAGTGATTTGAACAAAAAGGTTTCGAAAAACCAGTGGATTTCTGCTACATTTATTGCATTGATAGACTCTCGTAAACTTATCCCCTCAGGCTCCAAACACGATGAGCAGCGAAAAAAAATCAGATCTAGGCTAACCAAAAGTCTATGAAACGATCTTGATTGATGATGGGCAACAAAAGCAGCGGCTGTAGGTAACACTAGACAGCTTTTCAGATTAATAAAAGAATTAGGAAGTGTGAATGAGGCAATCACAAAGAACGACGGAACCCTTACATGCTCTCAGTCTAGACGTTTAAAACTATGGACGGAACACTTTAAGGAGCAGTTCAGCTACTCTACAACTACTCAATATTTCTAAACAGCCTGAATGCAACATTGAAATGAGTCCTCCATCTCTAATTGAAGTTCAAAAAGTTATAGACAATGTGAAACGAGGAAGAGCAGCTGGTCCAGATTAATAAACTCTGAATTTATTTAAGGATGGTGGTCCACTTTTAGCGATTACGTTGACTAATATTTTAGCTAAAATCTGGGAGTTGGACGTAATCCCTTCCGACTGGTCACAATCACTGATTGTCCCAATATATAAGAAGGGATCAAAATCATCCTGTAATAACCATAGAGGGATTAGTCTGAGTAATATAGCATCTAAAATACTTGCCTCAATAATTACCGGGTGCCTAACTAAGACTCGTGAATTACAAACACCAGAAAATCAGGCTGGCTTCAGACCTGCTCGTGACTGTGTAGACCACATATTCACTATTCATCAGGTTTTAGAACACAGACATACTTATCGGCGTGCGACAATGATAGCAGCATGTGACTCTGTAGACCGAGAGGTCCTGTGGTATTCTGTCATTGAAATGTGTACCTGAGAAGTACATAAACCTTGTGAAGGCTCTTTACTCGAACACTACCAGTCGAGTCAGAGCTTATGGCGAACTGTCATATGATTTTACAACCGTCAAGGCTGTCCACTATCCCCATTTTTGTTTAACTTCATTATAGACCTGTTGCTGGAAATAACACTCTCGTCGACTGAATTTTTAGGAATTGATCTTCTACCAGGAGGTTCACTTATCGACTTAGAATACGCAGATGACATAGTCCTGTTTGGTGAAGACGCTGACAAAATGCAGAGTCTTCTGTTGGAACTGAGTAATAATGCCAGGATGTTTGGGATGCGTTTCTCCCCATCCAAATGTAAATTGTTGCTTCAGGACTGGCCTGTGTCAACACCTGAACTAAGGATAGGGAGTGAAGTAGTTGAACGCGTGGACAACTTCACTTATCTTGGAAGTCTGATCAGCCCTAGTGGGTTGGTGTCTGACAAAATCTCTGCACGGATTCAAAAAACCTCGTTTGGCTTTTGCCAACTTACGTCACCTATGGCAAAGACGAGATATCCGTCTACCAATTAAGGGACGAGTATACTGCGCAGCAGTTCGCTCCGTTCTACTTTACGGCTGCAGAATGTGGTCATTAAGAGTAGAAGATACTCTTAAGTTACTAGTATTTGACCACAGATGTCTTAGAAATATTGCTCGCATCTGCTTGGATCACCGGGTAAGTAATAGTGAGATTAGACACAGGGTGTTAGGGAATGATGGTAAATCAGTAGATGAGGTCATGAATCTTCATCGACTGAGATGGTTGGGCTGCGTGTTACGTGTTACTTTTGGTGTTCTTGACTCAACTGGAAGAGTTAGGCGGTCAAAGGACAAATAAGGACGCTAGACTACTCATACTGGTCGAATGTCATTGATTTGCCACAGAGTTAAGATCCGAAAAGTCGTATTTCGATTGGTGGGTAATTCAAGTGATAAAAGCCGGACGTAAAAATCAATAACGAATTAGCATACTTCCCCTTTTTTTATAAAGTCACAACAAAGACTAATTCATTTGGTTTTGCACATAAACTATTATGGAATATACAATGCCTTGATAAAGGAATTTTTTACAATAAAAATATTTTCACTTTAGAAATTAATTGAGTATAGGATCTTTTAGACGTGTAGGCCAATCAAGTTCAACACCGATTACATCTAACGCTAATATATCTAATTGACGACCAAATATACTTGCTAAGCTAGGATTACATCGACCAAGATCTCCATGAACAAGTTCTTTCACATAGGTGCCAGCTTCACAACGAATTTCTAATATGAACAGTTCATCTTCTGGATATAGCTTTGACCATGATTTAAAATCATCGAACTATGGAAATAGAAAACATGTAAATGTACAATATATCGTGAAACAAACAAATATTTGTCTGGAACATTAAGTGAGATTTATTTATTTAAACACATAAATATTGGTACATGAAAGTACCAGATACATATGCGCCACACAAATCTCATTTGATTTGTGTGAGGGCTGTGATACTGTCTAGGTGCCCACTCTCGGCCGTACTAGGGCATTTGGGGGCACATCAAGTGAGAAATGAAGCTTATACTTCTAAAGTTTTTCTTTTTATAGATAGAATCAGAAATTATTAATAGACATTTCGCTTGTGTTTTAGAGATCCTTTTCATTTGTACCTAATGCTAAAACCATAAAGTCTACTCTCAATTGGTAATATTTAATGATAAAGTGTGATTGTGAAGATTGTTTTATTTACCCGGGTCGAGAATTTACAATTTCTCTCGAAACCAGAATTATGTATTGTTTTGCAATTCATGAAACTTATGTGTGATCTTTATCTATTTGACTACGTTCATATTTGACTAATTCTGATTATACCTGTACATATATAATGGAATATTTAATATTCAGGCATAAAAAAACGTTAGATTAGGATATTATTCAAACATATTCAAGATTGAAAATCCAAGGGCTAGATAGTTAAGTTTTTCAGTGATCCAGTGTAAATATGAGTTGATGAATTGTATTTCCGTTCAACAAGAGAACACAATGTACTACGAAATCAATTCAACTGAAATGTAATATCTAAGTTCAATTTTTCATGTTGGTGAACTGATTTCACAAATATGTATCCCAACTAATGTTAAAGAGATTAACAGAAACATATGTCAATAACTTATTTAAAAGCTTGGAAAAACCAGTCGTACGAAGAAATCACCAGGTTCCTACTAAAAATCCTTAGAAAAAAAATTATGTAAACATTAAATTGACATAAACCATAAGTATTTTATAAGTGGTACAGTTAGGATCACTCAGAAGAATACTAGTCAGGACAATACTTTTAATTTGTGGCGTTTATTAAACTTTTCACTGATTCCATTTGTGACACTAACTTATGAAGTCCAACCAATGTACACTTCTCACAGTCTCCTTACTTGTACAAATATTAAAAATAAACCGTTCCAATAAGGAAAGCATTAGTCAGCTTATTCTTTATTGACGATTGTCACACTACTAACAAAAGTAAATTAATCTAAAGTTAATTTTGATACAAGTAAGTTGGAAAAACAAATAAGAACTTTCGTCTAAATTAGAGCGAATGGTTTTACAGTATTTGGGCGTGGAGTTGATGTAAGACATTAAATAAGAATAATATATTTGTAAAATCTCAACGAATGAATTTGAAGTAAATCCAACCTTTCGCCTGGCAACTGAGATTTGATTAAAGCAGGTAGTACATGTTAATCATCATTAATAAAGATGAATTTTATTAGATTAATAATTAATAAACATTATGGATGCACTGATACCCCAATGTTTCCCTGGATAAATAGCGGTATCACCAATAAATTTTAATCCCGACCGTTGCTGCTACCTTGACGTGGTGGTCGGGCTTGCCTATCGTGATGATCCAATCGAGCTATGCTGGCTGGAACAATCGTTCCTCGAGGTCCTACCATGCCAGACAGGTCGATTGAAGAGCGGTGAGACTAAAAGCAGCAAACCCAAGGTCCGAAGGCGAAGTCGTACTGCTGACTGTACAGAGGTGTGAAAGCAGTAAGGTGTTTCCTTCAGACAACCAGCATGACAGCGATGCTGCCTTCCCACAAGGAGGGGTGGGGTTAGAAAAGGTCGACCCTAAAAATGCACACCTCGCCTTATCCCACGGATATCCGTCTCCGGCGGTAAGGTTTTTTTTTTTGAAGAACGGAGCTAACACAAAAACTACCCACAAAAAGGTCGTGTGTGACCGACCTCAAGCAGTTGTCCCTTGGGCACTGCGGTCACGCTCTCCGGTCATTAAGACCACTTCTAACCCAATTCCCTTTTCAGGTACCTCTAGAAGAATCCTTCCACGGTGTGGGCAACCGGGAAGTGATAACTGCCCTCATACCTCTAACAACACTCAAGACCACTGTATTCATAATCAATCTCCTTCTTCAATTCCTACTACCTTGACTTTCAACACTAAACTTCCTCTCTCGGTTTCCTCCTCAAGTGTCACCATGGCCAACGATTCTAGTGCGCGAAACGCTGTCCCAGGTCTACTAAAACCTCGCTCCAAACTACACATTGGAGCCTTCAACGTACGTACTTTAAGTCAAATCGGTCAACAGGCCTCCTTAGCTAAAACCTTAGAGTCGCGTACCATTGATGTATGCTGTGTCTCCGAAACACGCATACAGGATCCTAGTGTGGTCATTCACTTGACCTCACCTCGCCAAAATGGACAGCCAACGAAATACACCCTCCGTGTATCTGGCGACCCGTTGGCTAGTTCTCGTGGACTTGCAGGTGTAGGTATAGCACTAAGTACAAGGGCAGAACAGGCACTATTAGAATGGATCCCCGTTAACAGTCGCCTGTGTGCTGTCCGGCTAAATGGCTCCGTAAGAACTCGGAAGGATAGGGACACACGTCGTTGCCTTTTCGTCGTTTCTGCCTACGCTCCCACTGACTGCAGCCATGATGAGGTGAAAGATGACTTTTACAGAAAGCTCTCTGAGCTTCTTCAGAAAGCTAAGCGCTCAGACATAGTAGTCGTAGCGGGTGACTTTAATGCCCAGGTAGGCAGCTTAAATCAAACAGAAAGACATCTAGGTGGGTGTTTTAGTATTCCGGCTCAACGAACCGATAATGGTGATCGTCTGTTGCAACTATGCTCAGACAATCGTTTATTTTTGGCAAGCACTAATTTTAAACATAAGGAGAGACATCGTCTAACATGGCGACCACCTGCACCAAACCAACGATGGACTCAAATAGACCATATTGTCATCAGTCATCGTTGGAGAGGCTCAATAGAAGATTGTCGCTCGTATTGGAATACTTGTTTAGACTCTGATCACGCTTTAATACGAGCACGCATTTGTCTGCGCCTCAATGGACGCAGGAAAAGTAAACTAAGAAGACCCGTTAGGATTGAACTGGAGGACGAGAAAGCCAAATGTGAATTCCAGAGACAACTGAGTTCACATCTAGGCAGTTCTGTAAACGAGACTGACCCAGATGCTGCTTGGAAAGGCATACGAACAGCTGTGGAGACAGCAGTAACATCTATTAGTCATTTAAACCATAGGGCTCCAAAAAACCAGTGGATTTCTTCTAAGTCTATTTCACTGATGGATTCGCGTAAACTCATACCATCAGGCTCTGAACATGACGAAGAGCGTAAACAAATTAGATCTAGGTTAACTAAAAGTCTAAGGAACGATCGTGAGCAGTGGTGGGCAACGAAAGCAAAAGAGATGGAAAAGGCAGCGGCTGTAGGCAACACCAGGCAACTATTCAGACTAATAAAAGAAACTGGAATTAAGAAGTCAAGTGTAAGTGAGACGATCTCGGAAAAAGATGGAACCCTTAAATGCTCTCTACCCAAACGTTTAGAACGATGGGCGGAACACTTTAAGGAGCAGTTTAGCTGGCCTTCAGCTACTGCACAACTACCCACTATTCCTAGAAAACCTGAATGGAACATTGAAGTAGGCCCCCCGACCCTACTTGAAGTTCAAAAGGCTATAGGTAATCTGAAACGAGGAAGAGCAGCTGGTCCTGATGGATTGGCTCCAGAGGTCTTTAAATATGGTGGTCCAATTTTAGCGATTAGGTTGACTAATATTCTGGCTAAAATCTGGGAGACGGATGTAATCCCATCCGACTGGTCACAATCACTGATTGTCCCAATATATAAAAAGGGGTCAAAATCATCCTGCGATAACCATAGAGGGATTAGTCTGACTAACATAGTATCTAAAATACTAGCCTCAATAATTATCAGGCGCCTAACTAAAACTCGTGAACTGCAAACACGAGAAAATCAGGCTGGCTTCAGACCTGGTCGTGGCTGTATCGACCACATATTCACCATTCGTCAAGTTTTAGAGCACAGACATGCTTATCGGCGTCCGACTATGATAGTTTTTCTTGACTTGAAAGCAGCATTTGACTCTGTAGACCGAGAGGTTCTGTGGCAGTGTCTGTCATTGAAAGGTGTACCTGAGAAGTACATAAACCTTGTGAAGGCTCTTTACTCGAACACTATCAGTCGAGTCAGAGCTTATGGCGAACTGTCATATGATTTTACAACCTCAAGTGGTGTCCGTCAAGGCTGTCCACTATCCCCCTTTTTGTTTAACTTCATTATAGACCTGTTGCTACAAATGACACTCTCGTCGACTGAGTTTACAGGAATTGATCTCCTACCAGGGGGACCACTAAGCGACTTAGAATACGCAGATGACATAGTCCTGTTTGGTGAAGACGCTGACAAAATGCAGAGTCTTCTGTTGGAACTGAGTAATAATGCCAGGATGTTTGGGATGCGTTTCTCCCCATCCAAATGTAAATTGTTACTCCAGGACTGGCCTGCGTCAACACCTGAACTAAGGATAGGGAGTGAAGTAGTCGAATGCGTCGACAACTTCACTTATCTTGGAAGTCTGATCAGCCCTAATGGGTTGGTGTCTGACGAAATCTCTGCACGGATTCAAAAAACCTCGTTTGGCTTTTGCCAACTTACGTCACCTATGGCGAAGACGAGATATCCGTCTATCAATTAAGGGACGAGTATACTGCGCAGCAGTTCGTTCTGTTCTACTTTATGGCTGCGAAACATGGCCATTAAGAGTAGAAGATACTCGTAGGTTACTAGTATTTGACCACAGATGCCTTAGAAATATTGCTCGCATCTGCTGGGATCACCGAGTAAGTAATAGTGAGGTTAGACGCAGGGTATTAGGTAACGATGGTAAATCAGTTGATGAGGTCATGAATCTTCATCGACTGAGATGGTTGGGCCATGTGTTACGTATGCCTGAACACCGATTACCACGACGCGCTATGATGACTAGTATTGGGGACGGTTGGAAGAGAGTTAGGGGCGGCCAAACCAAAACATGGCATCAGTGTTTGAAGTCACTAACTTCTAGCCTGAGCCATGTTGGCAGATGCAGACTACCTGGTTGGGGTCCGCGTGACTATCGTAATAAATGGTTGGAGACTCTAGGTGACATGGCTCAGAATCGATCACAATGGCGTAGGTGTATACACTCTTTATCTTCCCTTAAACCTTGAGATTAAAATTGCTTCATAACTTTTTTTCTTCCTATACTATATCCTTCTATACAATCTTTCTTTATATACTACCACCACTAAATTAATTGCTTCTATGAATCCGGTGTTCATCTTGATGTGCTAAAGAGGTATGGCAACTTGGACCGATGCATATATGTGCCTGGTCCTACGTTGTAGCTAACTAACTAACTAAAAAATAAATTTTAATTAGTAGTATATATATATACTACTATCATAAACAAAATTAGGTGTTCCAAGATAGAACTGCGTATTGTTCTTATTTGACCCTTCCCAAACCATGCTGGTAGATGTTCACTCATTCGTTGGTTAAGTTGCCTAGTAGTACGCCCGATTTATAATTTCAGCTGCTCCTGTGGAGATAGCTGTATCGGGCGTACTACTAGGCAACTTAACCAACGAATGAGTGAACATCTACCAGCATAAATTGGGAAGGGCCAAATAAGAACAATACGCAGTTCTATCTTGGTACATCTAATTAATAGTGATCATATTGTAGATAAATTGAAACCATTTCAAAAAGACAATATCAATCAATAAAAAAATTGTACCTCGAAAATATTAGCTCCTATCGTTTCCACATAAGACATAAAACATAAATGATAGATGGTTCTTTTACGATTTAGCAATGGTCTTCTATGCAATACACGTATAGGTGTAAGTTGATGAATATCCAATGGACCAAAATAAATTTTTCCATATTTTATAGAATTTATTTTATTAGGAGGCCAATGAATCGTATTCACATGATCAATATTTTCATTTGTTCGATTTAACAAAGTAGTATACTGTAGCATTTTCATAAGTAATTCAGTATTAATTCCACCTTGAGGACACCAACAAACAGCTCGATAACATTTGGCTTTATGCATTTCACCTAATTTTAATGCAGCTGTAGCAGATTTTGACGAGACTAACTAAGTAAATGTAAATTAATAGAAACGATTATATTTTAGAATAAGGACAAATTGTTTGCAAACCTATTCATGTAGAAACCTAAAATAGTACAAAATATTTACTATTCAATAATATCATCTCAGTCAAAACAACTTCGACAATGTAAAATAAATCCAGACGTTACTGAAAGCCAATTATAAGGCTAAAATTATTATGACCGATAATTTGAAGACAGGCAAACAATGGATAGGATCTTCGTCATTATCTGAGACTTCTTAGCAGCGTGTACACGAAACCTCGCGAGGGATCGAGTCCACGACCTGAAGATTTCGCAGAGACCCCGATACTTTTAGACCATCGATTGGGGACCCGATAGTTTAAGTTTCTTACTTCAGAAAGCTCCTGATATTCTGCGACTATCACGCCTAATACAGAGTTGCAGTTGTGTGTTGATAAAGAATCTTATAGTAGAATAAAATGTTTGTTCAATACTTTATGTCTTCAAGTGAAATCCAATGTCTTGACCGTGAAGAACAATTATTGTGATATCATTAGTTATCTTGTTAGTCCAAACATCTTTTAGGAGAACTCAAAAAGATTTAATAGAAGTATATTTTTTATAAAAGTTATGATTAAATTCAACCAGAGTTGATTAGATTTGTAAAATGAGGTATTCTGCAGTAGACTTCGAGTAATCATACTGTACGCTTTCTCCATAAATATTACATACATTGATATTATGTACGTGATAAGGAGAATTTTTTGTGATTTTATTCTACTACTATTGGTTCTGTCATGAGACAGACTTTTGATGAAACGAAATTTAGGTTAAAAAAAATAAACTTTAGATTTTTGTACTGTTGCTCCGATCATTGTCTACGTGTATTGAAGTAATGTTTACTAGCCCAGTAAGTTCAGAGAAATGATGCGTTCATTATCGACTCGGGTTCCTCTCACCACCGGTATTTATATTGACTAACAGAACAATCAGAAACAATCAACAATCTACAGACAGACGTGTAGAACATACATAGAAATCGATCAAATTGGTTTAATTCCTATGTTTCGTGGCAATCCTGATTATTTCTTAGTTAATTCCGAACGAAATCATCTGGATGTAAATGTTAATATTTATGTTCAATAATTAACCTTACATTACATGGTCTAAATAAATCAATCCTGATCAAATACAACTTTTTAATTTGACTCTAAATCTTCGCTAACGCAAAACCTCCAAAGTCGTAAGTTTAAATTATTTTAGTTATTCATATACTTATTAGATAAATATCTGACTTCCAATCGTTTCTTATTTCCCCAGAATCTTCAATGTTTCAACAACGAACGGAAGAAAAAAAGATTAGAGGTCTTAGAAGAACTCTTTGGGAAGTGCCTATTGAACGCTAATTGAAAGGAAATATTCCCAGCCTTTTTCTAACTTTCAGAGACTTTCAAGGACTTCTGACAATTGTTATTGCTTTTTTTCAATTTAGTCAGACAAATATCGTCAGATTTTGTTTTTATGTCAATGAAACAAAATTGTGTAGCAATGTCGAAAAGGATTATTATGAAGAGAGGGTTTCATTGTCTAATAAGAAGAAAAGAATATTTTTTCCCCTCTACCAACCTGTAAATCTCGTATAAACACTCGACCCTGGGTTGTCGAATTGATAAACGATGCCAGTTTCAATAAATCCAATGGTTCATCTTCATTACATTCTACATCAAGGTTATTGTTAACAGACCATCGTTGAATAATTTGTGACGGTAATAATTCATAGTTGCTAAGTTCGATTGCAAATGGTCGACCCAATCCAAGACATCTAAAAAATGATAAATAAATAAATAAACATATTTGGAGGACTTGGATTTGATGGATTTTAGCAGATAATCACTAAGGCGACAGACGACCGTAAACGATTGATTCATACAGGGCGTGCATAATCCGTTTGAACTAAATTGGATAGAACAGAACTGCTGACTGTCTTAACTAGGTAATAATTTGACCACACTGGAAGGTGCTTGAGTGCATGAAGATTTAGAATTCCTAGAACATCTGCCGATGTAAATTGGTCCACAGAAACGCTTGAATTGGTCAATACAAAAACAGTTGGCTAGTCGATGTCACCATTAGATGTGTAGAAAACATTGGCTGTATGTTGCCTGAGTTGAACGCTCTTTGAACTGTTATTCTTAACCTCAACGCTAACATTTTGCTGGGTACGTATATATTTATTTATTTGTAGAATATTAAACGTACTTGCTTTCGGTGTCAGTTTAGACATATTCATATTCAAAGCAGTTTTACATAAAAATGCAATTGATGAAATGTTTAGAGAAGACTCATACATACTTAGTTAGACAACATACTCTATGATGATAAGCCAATGAGGGGAAAAAGAATGTGTTAATTAGATGAGGCTATACATCTTTGATAAAAATTCTACCGCACAGTAACAGTTTCCAAAAAATATACCTACGAAAAGCTAGGAAATATAAACAACAGTATTATAAGTGAGGGGATGAAGACTAATTTACAATCTGTCGTTTGGTTAGTGGTTTGATTAAGGATACCTCAGGTTACCTAGATTTTTGTTATTAAGTCATAACTCTTTTCTGTAAAGCTAATCTCAATAAACTTTCTCTTCACTAAATCTTTGCACTAATCTAATTTATTATATTTGATCGATTGTCCCTTTTGGTTTGCCAATTTTACTGTGTCCGAAGGTCATGTTTTGATCTTATATTTACAGCGTTGTTCACTTCCTGACATCTCTCTGTCCTTTATATTATTGGCCATTGTTGTTGAAATGATATGTGTCAGCCGTCCGATTCATCGAGTTGGCAATAAAAGGATCCCGAATGTTAGTTTTTATGAATTACCGTCGGTCAATCAATCTGCAAACACGACAGTTTTCAGAAATTTATCCGATTAGGATTAACGGATCGGATCCTTTCTGAAAGTTATCATTTTGACCACATCTAGGTTTTTTTTATCAAATCAAGTGGTTATCCAAAAGTATTACCCAATAAAGAGAAGTCTAACAAATTTACGCCTGATAATCAATTATTTTTAGAGACTGATCGAGTGGAATTAGTAAGTATAAGGAATTTGCACGAAACATTAAACTTTATGGTTCATATCACGGACTGACCTCAGTTAGACAATCACTAGAAACAAGGAATTAACAGACAGTCGTTTCGTACTGGTATGAGACTCTTCGGCAGTGAGAACCCAAGACCCAACCAGAGACCAAGCTCAGGATCTTCGGTCCCGCGAAAAACACTTAGCCTTAGGACTACTGAGTCAATGTCTAACGGTGTACATATCTGCCTTCAATTAACTCACGATATTGCATAACCACTGTCCATTGGTGGGTACAACTGCTTCATTCATGACATGGGTAAACTCCACTAGTCGCAACTTCTCACTATAGTTCCATGAATTACTTCTCGGATCAAGGAGAATCGTGAACGCACGCTGTTGAAGAGTGTCATATTAGAACGAAACAACTGTTCAATGGTGGTCTCACTAAGGTCAGCCCTTGATGCAAACTATAAAACGATTAACATATGAAATTCCAAATAAAAAAAGGAAATTCCAAAGAAAAGTGGAAAATTACCTAACATCAACATCTTCTCTACCAGATGTAATAAAACAACTTTGAGCATTTGCACCAAATCGAGGTAATATTGGTTGAGTGATAAGTTCTTCTACAGATGAATCTAATTTACGCTGCGATCCAATTATCCATGGGGATTGAGACAAACGTCGACTTAATTTCACATAACGACCAGCCAAATAAAGCGGTACACTTCGAACTATTTCCAAAGATGTTATGAATGCAGGTGAACAATTGCTTGAAGAAATTCTATGAATTCAAGTAAATAAAAGAATTTATACGGATATATATACTGTGGGTAATTTTTTCTATCAAATTATTAACTAATAGGTTATAAATTTATGGGGGAAATTGGTCAGTTATTGGTTAATGTTCAAAGGGAATAAATTTCGCGAGGCGGGATCGTGGATGAGCACTGCTGAGGAGTCCCATATTAGGATCAAATGGCCTTCTAGTGCTTCCAGGTTTTCAATGCTGATGTAGCTTAGACCGACTGATGGATTTAGATAGAATCTCCAAAGCTCCCCATCCTGATAATTAATTATTAATAATTTATTTGTTTGTTACTTGTTTGTCAGCCGAATCACTTTATGTACTCTTGTTATTGAATCGTTGATGTTTTAAAATACTCGCTTGTCGATACATTTCTACGGACATTTTTAACATGTTCAGATGAAATGATTTCTTTCTTTGTGGATTTAATAAATATTCCAGTCAGTCAGTAATAAGCAATATGCAACATAACAAAAAGACGTACATTAGCCAACATTATATTAAGATGAAATAATTCAGATGAACACCAGAGTAATAAAAGCAATGATATCAGGGATAGAAAGAATTAAACTACTATAAGCGTATAATTCGAGAAGAAAAAACGGATTATTGGGATAAAGAAATAAGACAATTTTGAAACTCAAGATTTAAGGATGAATAAAGAATGAATGAATCTACATAACTGTGACGGATCCTAAGCCATATCACTTAAAATAAATCTTCCAGATAACACTGCATATCATCATCTCGATCAACTGTAGCTACATTAAGAGAAGAGAACCCTGATTCCAAATTAATGATGCACACTGGCTCCAGGATCCTGGGGGAACAAATGACGTATGAACCTATTGTTGGTCATCGGCTATCAAGGGACTGAATCTCTTGATGTTGCTCCACTGCCTTGTGGATTAAACTTTTAGGTCGAAAGCTCCGGATGTGGCCCCCTAAGAAAACTATCAGCTTCAGTTTGGGCACCCGGGTAGTATTAAAGCCCACACACAAATCGAATGACTTGTGTGGCGCATATGTATTCGATGCCCCTTTGTACCAATAATTATGCGTTTAGATAAATAAATAACAAAAGAATATATAAAAAAATAATGAAGGTTCTGAAAATTAACAAAACGATACTTACTTCCTTAAATAATTTGATTGCAAACAAACATCTTTTAACAGAGGAATAAGTTCTGTTAAAAGTCCTCGAGAAAAATGAAATGATTTTGGCAAAGTATAACCAATATTAATCACAGAGTAAGGATTGCAAATGGATGAATTTACATTAGAATTGAACGTTTGAGAAGACAATGTTTTTGTTGTTAATTCTTCTATGACTTTTTCATCTTTGAATAATTCCTTTTCTGAAGGATTCATGTTTAATTCTTTTTCATAATGAAACCTTGAACGCTTACGTGGTATTTTAATACTTTTTGAACGAACAAGCCAAGAACGTATAGCATTTAATGGAGAACGTTCTAAATAACTTAGAAATTCATTATAATCTGATTGTATGAAGAAATTTGCAAATTCTACAGTTATACAAATAATATTTGATTCTTGATCATAATTTGAATTGTTAACAATTAATTCATTGGTTTTAATTAGTTTTAATTCAGTATCATTGCGTAAAGAGTAAATCAATGGAGCCTATGTATGATATAGAAACAAGAGTATTCTATATTAAACTTATTACACTATGAGGTATTACACAGTACAGAAATACTAGGAACGACATGGTTAGTTCTAGGAGATAAAATATAAGCGCAGTATCAGGTGGTCGAATTATTTTGAAATGCGAATGTTTGAATGTCAAGTAGTTTTGATGTGATAGTTGGCACTCGTTAGAAAGACGTGATCGCGAATTCGACGGAACTGATACTCTCTAAAAATTCGAATCAGAGTCACACAGCCTGACAGTGACATTTATAAATAGACAATAAAAAAGAAAGAAGCTCGTGCAACAATGTTGTTCAGTTTAACTTTAGACAATTAAGACAACTCAGCAAGCCAAATTTTCCTTTCGATAATTTCATAAAGAATTAAATATAATAAGTGTTTTGAAGTAATTGTTTTCATGTTGATGGAGATGTTCACAACATTAGATCGCGTGATATAATCACTCAGTTATCTGACAGTTCGACAGAAAACCAGATGTAGACCAAAACACGAGTTTAATAATACCAAATATCGAGTGAGTTAGTAAGTAGAATGAATTTTACTCCATAAAATAATTTCTTATATTTAGTGTAGCTGGATATGTCCGCTTTCAATAATTCACAGATCGCTAGTATCTCAGACCAAACATATCAGTAGCTGTTAGAATTATTGATGACAAGCTTATGTTATGATTTACTGGAAATACACTCTCATAATATTACGATGATGAGAATATTTGTGACGCAAGATGAAAGTTTTGAAGGTGTCTGGTTTTCTGAGTTGGATGGATTAATTTTGAAGCTATACTGTCTTTCCCGACATCATTAGAACAAACTCCGATAAGCAGTGATTTATCCGAAATTAACTTGTTTTGTTGACCCAGGCCTCAGTTCAGATATGAAAACAATGAAGGCAAACAAACAAACAACAACCATGCACATATATGGACAACAATTAATCAAATTTCAAGTCAACAGAACAAACTGGTAGTTAATTTTGGAGAAATTTCAATAACTGACTTCCTAATGAAGTTTGTGCTGATGTTGTTGTCGAGAAAGACAATAGTAGCTTTACGATTAAACTATCCAGTTTAAACAAAGATGGATAGTGGCTAGCAGTGGAATCAAGGACGCGCGTTTCGTCCTATTTGGGACACGTCAGCTGGATGTACCTGCATCTCAGAGTTGATGTTCACTCTGGGACTCGAACCCAGTACCCTCGCTTCAAACGCCATCGCGTTATCCACTCGGCCACTGAGTCCTGATAGCCACTTGCTTGTGCGATGGGGTGAATTTTAAATTCATTTAGTTTAAAGAACAAAACATCTTCAAAATCATATATTATTGTGAAACAAATTAAAAATACATAAAATGACAAACTCACTTTCAGTAAAGATGATAACTTTTCATCTACAATCCATTTCCATGCAGTTTTTACTGGAATAGCATATGATCTCAATGCATTGATATCATCTTTAGTGAATGTTATCTGTGGATTATTCAATTTCTCAATAGTACTACTATTCGAAGTATTGTTTACATGATCAATCGACATACAAATTAATTCATCCCATAAAAATTGTTCACGTAGTATAATATTGATCGGTTCAGTGACCTTTTTAATCGAAAAAAGGAACAGGATAGCATAAATGAAACAACGAAAATTGGTTAGACGTAATTATTAGTAGCAATGTTAAGAATGATATGAAAACAATTTACTTAATATCTTTTTGTTATACATTTATTTATGACGATTACAATGATGATAAGAAATCAGGTGTAGATATTTTGTGTTCAATGGCCTTAAGTCTGTGGAAGCCTCTAACTCGACAAGCTGATTAGTAACAATTACGTTCATCTTATCTATTCGTCCATATGTATAACTGCATGCTGCATCATTCGTTACCCAAAAACATTATTCGAGTACTGCAATTATCACTCTGTTCTAGTCGCACTATGTACCAGAACATAGAGTTTATAGCTGTTCTTTCAAAGACATACTCTTGTTCGTCACACCCAAGTCAGTCCCACTCGCTGCCATCGATAATCATATGTATTGCTATTTTTATCATGCCTTAGTACGATTTTGTAACAAACGAAGTCCAACGTATCTCCTTCAAGCCACAAAAACCACTCTGGTCCTCACGACCGAAAAGGAACGACTACGCTTATCTCGTCTCCCAGTCACTATCCTGTTCCTCTGGTCATTCTACTAATGCATATTTAACGATAGCTCGATGCATCTGTTATAATGCAAACGATAACATACACTAACTTCGCATTTGATGGTTACTATCAATTACAGTACAGCAACAAATATCACTGGTCGATGCAGTTATCATTTCACGACTTGACTATTCTTATCCTATGAATTGTAAATCTATGCATGTAAATTCGAATCTACTCATAGCTAATCGACGCTATTTACTCTACCGCAGCTCATCAGAACATCTTCAGATTTCACCGCTCTTTATCCTCATATTTGGTTTACATTAATTGCACGGCCATTGTGATTCCCTACCACCCATTGATTATAAATTTTAGGGTGTGATTAAAAAATTTACGAATTGGTGACTGGTGAACTTGTTTTTGAAAATGTTTGTTCAAGTGGTAATAAACAAACATTTTGTCACCTGTAATAACATTTTAATTGGCTGTAAAATGTGCACCATTGTAATCTGACTAGTTCAAATCGAAATAGCATAAAGTGCTTTGACTGGATGTGAGAATTTGCATTTTTACATTCCAATTTTATTTACAATAATTAAATATGTCTGACTGTTTCATCCGAGTTTTGATAAAAATTTTAACTGAGGAAAAAAAGACACCAAATCCATTTCCCTGCGCTGATACACTCCTGTCAGTGAATACACGTAATGTCAACAGCAAATGTTTTGTAAGTGCGCAGCCTGACCAAATCATTATCTGAATTACTTAATGTCATTTGTAAATGACATTGTAAACGTTACTTATGTAAAAAGTCTGGAATTCTTTTTCAAATCCTCGGTTATCTTTGTTAAACATAATAGACGAACAAAAAAAACGGTATGTACATTTTCCGTCATATGTGAATAATATTTTTTTTAATGTCAAGCTCGAAATAGCCAAACGTTACAAAAATAACCATTTTTGACAAGCATTTGAAATATTGGTTGCATTAAGTGTAAATGAACAAGCCTGCGTCTGAAGAAATAATTTTCTATCTCAATTATACTACTTAAGACGAATAAGGTCAACTGTATCAATTAACATTTAGGTATACTGACTTTTAATTTTAATGTAATAAATAAAACCCTACATTTATTTATCAAACGTGAAAATGAGAATGATCAGGTGTTCTACGGCCATTTCTCCAAAATGCAAATTTATAATTTATTTTATTTATTATTTAAACACATAAATATTGGTACAAAGAGGCATCAGATAAATATGCGCTCAACAAATCGAATGAGATTTGTGTGAGGGCTGTGATGCTACCCAGGTGCCCAGACTGAAGCAGGTGGTTTACTCAGAGGGCCACACCCCGAGGCTTTGACCTGAAGGTCTAGTCCACAAGGCAGTGGAGCATCATAAGGAAATGCAGTCACATGGTAGCCGGCGACCAGCGATTGATTCATACGCCATTTGTTCCATCAGGATACTGGAGCCCATGTGCACCATTAATTTGGAATCAGGGTTTTCCAACTCCCGTAGGTGAACTCACCATGTCCACCAACCCAGTTAAAGCGCCGGACATTCGCTTATCGTCCTCTCACTTTCGTAAACAACAGTAGTGCCACGAGAAGGCAGTGAGTAGGACTTCCCTGGCAGAGGCTATATATTCGCGTGGCCATATGAGAGCATTTGGAGAGGGAGAGCGGACTCTCCTCACTCTCGACCGTACAAGGGCATTTGGGGGCACAAATTAAAAATACGGCTACAAATTTCTATGGAAATGAGAATCTCTCACCGCATAATGGCAGAACGTAGCTTTTTCATAAGTTCTGATGGTCCTCTTTAACGCTTCAAGTGATTGGAACGATACGGGATAGAGCGTATTCAAAGATACGTTATCCGTTTCTGTGACAAAGTGAGAAACAACAGAGCTTGTACTCTGTACGCTACTACCGTCCATAATATGAAGAAAATGTGCTCTGTCGACAAGTTCTGACGTCTTATACCGATTTCGGGAAATAAACAACCAATTACAAAGAATTTAAAACTAGCCATTTAATTGGACGAAACGGAATGAAAATAAATTGGAAAATGGGATATTAAATAATTTTATTAAAAAAAGAATACAAAAATGGCCGTCCGTTTATTGATGTTCCACATCCCACTTCAGTGTTACTTTCGAAAACAGACATTTTTTCAAATATGTCATTTTCTACAAGGGGGCTAATGTAGTGTCGGTTGCTATGTTAAGCCCATATGCCTTATTCTAGCTTCCGGATAGGCCAATTTATATATTCTTCTTGAGTCAAGTTTTGATCTTGTTAATTATTCACTTATCAATGCTGACTATTTTTATATGAGCGTTGACTCACATGCCATCACCACCGCGCGTCATGTCGCCTCTCTTTTATTCGCTTCATCCTTCTCATTTCTTGTCCAGATCAATTAGTGCACAAAATATATATGTATTCAAAAATCCATTCTCGTATTCAGCTTATTTAATTCCGTTATTCACTGATGCGATTTAAGTCGACGAAATATACGATGACAGCCAACATGTGTAGTTCGATAACAATCAGCATACAATCTACTTGGAGTCAGGTAAAGGGCCACCAAAAGTCAACTCTGCTCATAAGTCTTGAACTAAGATGAAAAATATAATCAGTAATTTTGCGTTCGAATGTTTCTTTAGTTAGTGCTACAGCTCATGTTGAAAACTAACCATAAACCATGTAGTTGATACCGAAATGTTTCATGTGTGCAGTGCAGTGAAATAATTAGTCAAATGGACAGGATCAGTAGTTTGTTACGACATAAATATTGTGAAATACAGACCACCGAATATGACTAAGTAGTATAGTGTAACAGATAAAAAAAGGTCAATCGATGGAATCAAGTAGATACGAGACTGATTTAAGAAACGCAAACTACTGTTTGGAGCACTAGACTGCACTTCTATATCTGTTGCAAACATAAATAACAAAACACAATTGTATTCAGTTTTTTTATCTAAACAATGAAGAACAATCAAGGAGAATCTCCATAGCATCGCTCGAGTTCCATGGCACTAGAATTTTAGCGGTATATAATAAGCGACATAGAATGATTGTGGTCCAGATCACACAAAAATGAATAAGTAAAAGGATCAGTTCTCTCAAAGTCTTAGATACATTTAGTTGACAAGTGACAAATCCAAGAATTTTCTATCGGCTGTCTTCAAATAACTGATACCAAGTCTTAGTATATATCGGTTGTGCCTTGTAGTAGAATTCAGAATAGGTACTTCGTCCTACTTGTAACCAAGATCCGACTTCATTTAGTGGTTTCGCATCCACTAATTACTACTTCATAACATGAGGAAAACAAGTAGAATTAGTGAAAATTAGTTACTAACGTACCCGAAGTTGATATGCTGTATATTGATAACGGGATCCATTTAACTCTTTATATAAATAGAGTAAAACATATTTATCAAATTCCTCATTGGTAAATTCCATTTCATTTTGTGATTCATTAAGATTTCGTGGAATATCACATAAATAAGGATTATGCAACAGGCCAAAACAAAGTTTACATATAAACTCATCAGGATATGCTTGTGAATGAAAGACATTAAGTAAATCTATTTGTTGACAGCGACCATTAGTTAACCGGATGATACAACATTTACAAATATCGAAATCAAGCATATATTTATGGATACAGGAAATGGCTTCATTTGGCATTGTCTACATGAAAAAGTTTCAAAAATACACGAAAATTTTTTATTTTTATTTTGTGCACATGTGAGGGAATAAGCGCTGTCGTCTAAAGTAAATGTGAAACGATCCATTCTATTAGTGTGTTAGATAAAATGAGATTAGATTATTACTCTTTTTGTGAAATACCTATTATATGAGATTTATAGGTGCAAAGCAAAATAGTTTTAACATAGTCAGTCATTATTGACGTAGCGCCCGACATAATTCGCCACATATTAGCATGACGAGATGGAGATAACGATATGGATTACAACACAGATAGGAATAATGTAATAACAATGACAATTATAACGACTAAACATTTGGTTCAGAATGACAGAATGAAAATGTATGCATGAAGGAGTACTGGAATTTGAAATCGAGTGGTAGATAAGTAGTGAATAGACCTGCGACACTGTGAAAGATTCTGAACTATGTCACCCAAAGGCTCCCATCACTAACCAGGTAGTCTAAGCATATTAGGATGGATCAGACCGACAGTTAATAACTTCATGTAACGTATCTCGCATCCACGACTCAATAGGTAAAACCCAAGTCGATTAACTACCGAACTGTAGCGATACATTGACAATTAGGTATGTAGTATCAAACTTCGTTTTATAATTAAAGCGATTAAAACAGACCTTCTGTGTATATCAGAAAACGATTTACATCACTTTTAAAGATTGGTTCCAATAAAGTCTTTCAATTCAATCATAAACTTTTTCATTTGAAGGCGGAAGGCTGAAAACTTTTATACAGTTGTGTATCTATATGAAGCTCACTGGATTCAAGATAAAATTCAAGCAACCTCAGTTTAATAGGAATAATAATGGCGGGATCATTATAGGAATTTAGAAACATGACGGGATAAAGTTAATATATAACAATATTACAATGAAGAGACACACTTGAAACTATATAATTGAATAAAGTTTGTTTCTCGTCAACAGAAAACCTAATTAAGGAATAGAATAAATATTTGAAAATTAAAAAACAAAATCCATCTTCATTTTTCTTATTATCAAAGTATTAAACTACAGTGCCTAGTGATTATCGTTGAAAGAATGTATCACATTAATTGGTTAAAGAAAAAGATTCCAGACAAAAATATACCGAGAAAAATTGCTCATTTAGCGTTAATTAGATGATGATAATAATGATATAAAGTATATCATCAATGTTCTAAAAATAAATAAATAACCGGGCTTTAGATCTTATAATATTAACTTAAAAATAGACCAAAGTATGTGAACTAACATACTGAATGGCTGAAAGTTAAAAATAGTGAGACAAAAAGTGACGCACAAAGAAACATCGACTAAGTTTAAGTAATAGATAAACTTCGACGTAAATGTTGTTATAAAGATATGATCATAATGACGATATATGCCATTATTTATAGATATCCAGGTTATTAAAAAAGGTAACACTTATTATGTTTGCCATTTTAATCGACATTACTTACTAGATTTGCCATTCAGTCAATCAGCTACAATTATGACTAGGCATCGGTCCACCTTGCCATACCTTGTTAGCACAACAAGATGAATACCGAATTCATAGATTTTCCATTCACAATTCCGTTTATAATTTCCTAACCACTATGTAAACTAATTTGCCTCTTGCTAACATCCTAAGCTTAAACCAGTTACGTGCTTCGACTGGTAAGGCTATTCTTTAGAGCAACCCCAACTCCTATTAATCCTGAATGTATATCATTCTTCTACTCTCAATCTTCAGTCCGATAATAAAATAACAACCAAGCTTTTATTGTATGTTTAAGTCGCCCGATACGTCTATCTCACGTACTCACTAGCTCATATACATGAGTTATCAGACGGCAAAGCACCTCTATTATGAAATCATACTATACATACAATCATGCTATAAGTGCTAGAGAACGGTACTTAATAAATTAACAATAATTGAGAAGTAATAAATTGTATAACAATAATTAATAGGTCTCACAGAAGCTTACAATACTGAGAATAGACAAATACAATAGTCCAATTATTTAATAAAATTACACAATAATAAGTAATAATAACAATCTGTAAAAAAGTCCAAATATCTTCAGTGCTCCCCCTACTGTAAAACATCTCAACTAGTAACAATAACAATCATATTTAAGTGTATACTGAATAAATACAAGTCATTATAAAAACCAGGGAAAAACGATTATATTTTAAACCTTTATTTTAATATCAATAAAATGTTATGTAATTTTAATAGTTCAGATCATGAGTCAATTGAATCTAGAGCACCATAGAAAACCTGGAAGCATTAGACGACCGTTTCGTCCTATTGTGGGACTCCTCAGCAGCGTGCATCCACGATCCCACCTCTCGAGATTCGAACCCAGGACTTATCAATCTCGCACGTGAGCACTTAAACTCTAGACCACTGAGATGGCCGGCATCCAACGGTGTTAATGTCTAACTTCAACCGATCCACAAAATTGTTAAGTGCTCACTGATAAGACGTCTGACGACAGTTAAAGTGATACAGATGTTCCATGCATTTTAATTTAAGTACATATATATAATTTACTGTTTTCTAATGTTTAATCTCAAACGTGCAGGTGAAGAAACTTCCTTATCGTCGAAAACATCAACTCTCGTTTTACAGAACTGTCTTAAGATTAGTAGTTTTTAGTATCAAACTACTATATTTTCAGATAACTTTCTTCTTGAAGTACATGTTGATGTTGTTTAGAAGAACACCGAAAGGTTCACAACCAAACCATCCAGCTTAAAGACTACAACAATTCCAATTTTCAACATGAACCAACTTCAGTTAAATAAGTACTAAAAAACCAAGGTGTACTGGACAGCTGTATAGTACTGGTTTAAGTCTTTCAAACAGTGGAAACCAGAAGATCAGATTTTTAACAGTATGTAACCTGATATCAGTTTGTGATGAAAGTTATCTGAAGATTGAATAACCATCCACAAATTAGATAAGTAGCTTAAAGCAGAATATATATATATATATATATATATATATATATATATATATATATATAATCTTTAGACGATAATCACATAATACAACGAATATTATACAAATACAGAATTAAAACAACCAAATATCAAATTGAATTAAGTTTCGTACTTACATAAATCTTTCTACAAATTATTGTCAAACTATGTGCATAACATTATATTCAAAAGGTTTATTTTGGTAGTCTATACAAAACTGAATTCTTATTAATGAATTAGAGGTTCAGTTTATTTGACTTAGATAATTAAATGATAAACAGGGTTTGAAAATCAATTGTTTAACCAAATATCAAAAAAATTCGAGAATCGAGGTACTAATAATCTTGTTCCATCGAAAGAAACTATCTATTTACAGCACTTATTTATTTATTTAAACACACAAATATTGGTACAATGAAGCACCAGATAAATATGCGCCGCACTAATCTCATTTGATTTGTGTGAGAGATGTGATTCTGTCCAGATCCTCAAGCTGAAGCAGGTGGTTTTCTTAAGGGGAAAAACCCAAAGCCTTTGACCTGAAGGTCTAGTCCACAAGGCAGTGGAGCATCATAAGGAAATGCAGTCCCATGGTAGCCGGTGACCAACGAATGATTCATACGTTATTCGTTCCATCAGGATACTGGAGCCCATGTGCACCGTTGGTTTGGAATCAGGGTTTTCCAAATCCCGTAGGTGAACTCACCATGTCCACCAACCCGGTTAAAGCGCCGGACATTCGCTTATCGTCCTCTCACTTTCATAAACAACAGTAATGTCACGAGAAGGCAGTGAATAAGACTTCCCTGGCAGGGGCTATATACGCGTGGCCATGTGAGAGCATTTGGAGAGGGAGGGCGGACACTGAGCTGAGCCATTTTTTATAATCGTCTTCCTAGCGTTTTTAACGTAGTACTGCTGGATGTTGTGCTCCTACTACTAATTGCCCCCAAATGCCTTGGTACGGCCGAGAGTGGGGAGAGTCCGCCCTCCCTCTCCAAATGCTCTCATATGGCCACGCGAATATATAGCCTCTGCCAGGGAAGTCCTACTCACTGCCTTCTCGTGGCATTACTGTTGTTTACGAAAGTGAGAGGACGATAAGCGAATGTCCGGCGCCTTAACCGGGTTGGTGGACATGGTGAGTTCACCTACGGGAGTTGGAAAACCTTGATTCCAAATTAATGGTGCACATGGGCTCCAGTATCCTGATGGAACAAATGGCGTATGAATCAATCGCTGGTCACCGGCTACCATGTGACTGCATTTCCTTATGATGCTCCACTGCCTTGTGGACTAGACCTTCAGGTCAAAGCCTCGGGGTGTGGCCCTCTGAGTAAACCACCTGCTTCAGTCTGGGCACCTGGGTAGCATCACAGCCCTCACACAAATCTCATTCGATTTGTTGAGCGCATATTTATCTGATGCCTCTTTGTACCAATATTTATGTGTTTAAATAAATAAATAAAATAATGAGTTACATGAAATGAAAATATTGTGAAAAAAACAAGAGAAATCTTTTTAAAAAATGCAACCATGTTAAGTGGTAAGAAACACTATTCGAACAAGAACACAACTAGCTTATATTTCACCAAGTTAGGTGTATATTACAGTATATGAAAAATACAATCGAAAACTATAGAACAATAGCTATTAGCATTTATTCCGAATTATGCCTGCTAACCTTTTAATTTATTAAGTTGCACTGCCTTCAGGACTCCAGTCAAGGATTTATGACGGACAGTTGAATGCTAAACTAACAAAAATATTTTTTTATTAACAAGCTGTCGTAAATTAACTAACTCTCCGAGTATCAGAAAAATAACATGGAGTAAGATGATACCTTCACTAAACAGGATGCTAAATCATTAAGAAGTCAGGTTTTGAATTTACATATTGATTAAAAGTGAAGTCTACCTAGTAGGTTTTAATGCATTAATACATTATGTAAGAGGTTGGTTTATTAGATTTCACGACGTCTCATTGTATTAATTAACTTTTTTATTTTACCATGAGTGACGACTACTTAGTTGACGATCGTTGAAATTAATTGAAATATTATTGAGTGCAAGTGTCTTGCTGTTTCTCATGGTACATTCTTCTTAACAAGATTTGTTTTTAGAGTAGTTAGGGCTAGGATAGAATAGAGCTGTTGTGTAAGGGTATTGATGTTGTGGTTAGAGTTATTGACAACTCTTAAATAACACTTGAGACCGCAATGTGTCTTAAATTATACTTTCAGAGTATATAAATGTTTAGAAACAACCATAGTTGATAAAGTTTACTGGCTTGTTGTTCGCGAGCAATAATAATAATAATAATAATAATAATAATAATAATATAGACTAGGATCTAAGCTACTAAGTCTGACAAATTGATCCATATTAGTAGCGGGTTAAAAGCACAGAACCACAAGATTTTACGCGATCGGATGATCGCCAAATAAAACACTTCAGGTGTTTATCAATTCTTTAATCGATAAAAGCTAGTAATATTATGACATGATTCATGGTCCTATCCCTAAACATTAAACATATTTCGTCACCATAGTTACATAACATTCATTTATTTAAGCACATACATATTTGTACAAAAGGGCACCAGATACATATGCGCCACACGTAATAACTTTGTTTATAAGATGAACATATGTTAAGCTTTAATAACTGGCCTGCAATATTTTCATTGTTGCTCACATAACTAAATCATTAAAGAAACTTGAATTTAATTTTTGATACTTTAAGCTGTCACGTTGTTGATATTTTGACTGATATCAGATCAGTCTTAATTGAGATATGCGCAACAAGTGTGAATCGCATCGATAAAAAAGTTATGAAAAAAGTTTACATAGAATAAATGGAGTATGGAGAGCAGTGGAATCCAGAACACTCATTTCGTCCCATTTGGGATCGTCGGCTGAATGTACATGCATCTGAGTTGATGTTCACTCCAGGACTCGAACCCATTATTGCTTGCTTCAAATGTCAACACGCTATCCACATAGCTACTGACTCCAGCAAGTCATTCATTTATATAACGAGTATGGATCTCAATTTAACGCCGATGCAGATGCATCCAGTTGACGAGTTCGAAACAGGATGAAACGAGAGTCTTGGATCCCACTACTAGCTACATTTTGTCTGTTCTATTGAAGAAACTTGTTGTGAACTCTTCTTGTGTGATGTAAAGTCGTTCCACTATTACTAAACCTTTAAATACTACAAACTATCTACAATAATACTTTCCAAGCTCTTTACCAGCTATATAGGGATTATCTAATAAAATCAATATATAACAAAGAGCTGAATGAAGTGGCATATCAAATATGTAACTTCATTATAATCAGTTTTAAATGACTGAATACTAAATTCGACTGTATAATTAAGACGATGAAAATTATCCCAGCTGAATAAAATATACGACCACTCTTACTAATGAGTCAATCTTAACTTAATTGAATCCACGTATCACTCATTGACAATTGGATTTGAAATATCTCAACATCTCAATTTTTACAGAAAAGGAAGAGTAAAAATGATTCTTAGTAGTGGTCTAAAGTGCTTAATAAACTGGTAAATTATTCTTTTCTTATGTTTTATAGTTAGTGGGAAAATTTATCTAATAATCACCTATGATACAAATTCATTATGTTTACGTGAATTTCAAATGTTATACCGTTTGATAAGTACTTGTAATTCACTTTCTGGAAATCCACTATTTGGATTCTCAATTGATTAAACTGATCCTTAATCGGGAAAATATAGAAGCCGTAATAAAATTTTCGAGGACTGTTGGCAACTTTATTAGTTCATTTTCAAGAATAGGATCCGCTTGTCTACTGACGAAGTTTTCTGGAAGCTGATATTGAAGGTCCGTAAAGGAGTGATGGTTAGACGAAATTACTGGGCACTGAATTCCAGGGTTTCAGCTGTATCATTTTAAGGACTAACTAACTGAGTGTGATGAGCTATCGGAGACAATTACACGAATCTTGATTAAGTAGTCTATACCTATTATTATGACTCACTTCAGTTGTCAGTGACTTCATGGAGTGGTACGATGTTCTGATATGGTCGCCCATAGTTTACTTCCAGTCCACTTCTAAACTAAACAACACCCATCAAGGTAGGCAGTGAGCAGGCATGCATGACACATTTCCTAACCATCTTAGTGAATATTCACTAGCTCATCAATCATTTTGCCATCTTTACTCATTACCCTATCCCTAACCTACGGATTGCTTACTCGGTGGTCTCAAAATCCAAAAAGTAATGCTTTTAAAACACATATGACCAAATAGTAATAACCTACAAATACCTTCAGTTCTTGGTAACCATGTTTCATACCCATAAAGTAGAACAGAGAGAACTATTGCACAATTAACTCGTCCATCGGTTGGCAGATGAATATATTGCCTATGCCACAAGTTGGGAAAAGCCAATCATGCCTTAGAAATCTGTGTCGAGATTTTGTCAAAAACCAGGCCATCAGGACTGGTGAAACTCTCAAGATAAGTGCAGCTGCCAACACACTCGGTTGCCTCACTCCGTGTCACTAATCCGAGTGCTGACACAGGCCAATCCTGAAGCAGCATTTTGTATTTGGAGGGAGAGAATAGCATCACAAATATGATTGAATTGTTGCTTAAGGTGGTCAGAAGACTGCATATTTTCAGCGTCATTACAAAAAAGAGCTATATTATTTGAGTATTCTAGATCAAAAAGTGAGTCTCCTGGCAGATCAGTCCCTGAAAATCCAGACGAGAGTGCTATCTTTAACAGGATGTCAGTGACAAAAATAAAAGGACAACCCTGATGAACACCACTGGGGGTTGATAATTCTGATGACAGTTCGCAATGAGCTCTAATAATAATTCCATATTTTCCCGAGTTACACTAACAGCCGGGTTTTTAATACATTTTTCGTTGATAAGTCTGAATAGTCGTCTACTATTCCTTGCTGCCGTTCCCTTTTCTATATATCATCTTCATCGAGAGAAAAGAACTTCGTGTACAAATTATTGGACTCCTGCAATAATGAAACGTCAAGGAAAAAGACATGTACATATTTTCTGTGAGCAGTTTCTCTAAGGAGATTTGAGTCAGATTTTGACTTACTGTTACTGTGGATTTAAAAACACGTGTCTATGAAATATACTTCATATTTATACAGTTCACAAAACGAATTTAAATTGAGAAGTATAACTAATAATATTAAAATGAATCGTGATTCAGCGACAGTTTTTAATACCCAAAAGGAAAACAAAAGCAAAACTAGTAAATGAAGAACGGGGAAATCCCAAACGTTCTTGGAAAAGGAAGGTTAATTTTCCATAAGTAGAGGCTGATAAGAACATCCAGACTCCTGAGCATAAGTATGTTTGGGCATGTGATCCAGTAATTGAAAGTCAAATCCTTACACTACATAGTGACACCATATTACGCCACCCACAAATAACCACTTAATTGAGAAACACATTTTATTTTGTAATACAATCATGCTGTACAGTAAAGGGGAAAAATAAATACTGTCTTAACAAAATCTATATATTTATGATCAAATTTATACAGAAATACATAAACAACTCTCTCGACCAGAAAGGTTAAGGTATAGTTCAGGAAGAAAAAGTGAAATCATACATATAAATGTAAGCAATGAATGCCTCAGTCCACTATAATATATTTCAAAAGCTGAAAGACAAAGGGAGCAGTGGTGTTTTGATCTGCAAAATGATAACTGGAAGCAATCTGATCAGTACAAATAGTTCAATTATTCACGTCATATTTATGTATACTAATATTCTTGAAGAGGTACGATGAAATTAAATATGTATACAAATCATAATGGGAAATCATAAAGAATTAGTTTTTCAACAAATACAGATTTCATATGATAAAATATAGTCCGAATAGAGGCTTTATAAGGTAAATAAAACAATAAATTTCCTGAATGAGTGGGTACTAGTCATATATATACAAAAAACAATAATCAAGTCATAAATTTATACAAGGACCCATGAATATACAAACATGTTTATAAATGCACTATTAAAACGACGCTCTTTTGCTGTGCTTACTTGAGGTTTGGCACAACTTAGTAGCATGATTGAGGCTAGAGAGGCAAATATTTATGGAATTAGAGTCTGTGTAGTGATCTTTGAAAGAAGTATTAGAACGTTTTGGCTGTAGTCGCTCAAGATGTGGCATCGGCGTCCCCCACCAAGCTGAACATGCTTCTGTAAAAACAAACTGCAAGTACATACACTGACTTCGCGTGGGAAATGAATATAAAAATGCTACTTCACGCAGACTATGAGATGGTTCTAAACATTCTCCATCAAGGTATAAATCTACAATTTGTCTGGCAGGATCAAGTTGATATTTGGATAGCAATAAATGATGGAGGTTAGCGACAGTTACTACAGCCGGACATAAAAGATATATTGAGTTAGAATACTGTTCATTAGAAAGTGGTGAAGGCGGTTGGGAACGACTAGATTCACTTCTTGAAGCTAATTTGAAACTGTCGTGACGTTTGCAAACTACGGATTCAGATATTTTTGAATATGACGGAAAACTTGTTAAATGTATTAAAGCCAAGCTCACAAACTCATCATCTGCTACTAGAAATGCGGCAGAAGTTGGTAAACGGTTGGAAACAAGCATTTGAGTTGCATGAGTTGAAGAAACAAGTCCGCATGGACTTTTAGAAAGCGACCGAGTTGCAAGAGCAGTTGGAAGGGGCGAAGAACAAAGATCTGTAGAAAGAAATTTATTCGAAACTACGCAGTTACAAAAGTTATATCTAGTTTGTGATAAAACGGCAAAAGAAAAACTTCAGATTAAAATCTGGCACCATAAAAAGGAGTTACATTGACCCAAATCTAAAAGCAGACACCCAAAAGACTAATAGCGGCAATAAAATGAAAAAAGAATATTAGGTATTAGAGCAAACACAAAATCAACATCTAAGAAAAGAGTGGATACGACTGTGCAAATAATTCAAGTTTTATACACAGTATTCTTTAAATTTCTACAAACCGAGCTAAACCCTTGGTAAGACGGCTAGTGATACTACAAGGTTACCTAGACGAAGTAGGTGAGGTGAAGTTGTAAGTTGCGACGTATTGGTTGGAAGTCAAGTGCACCAACAACTAAGCCACAGTCCAACGAAAAAATCCCAGTTGATAGCTATCAAAAATAGAATATTTAACAACAGATATCCACTTAAATTTATTGAGAAGAATTTGAGGCCAAAAAATAAAACGTGTCCATAGCACCAAAGAAGACTCTCTTTATGAACATTCAGTTTAAAAGGGATACTGAAGCAGAAATTCTAAAAGCATACTTCTGAGATTTCTGAGAACAACATCCTATTCGTATTGTATTTACTATTCAACCTAAGGTTCGTAGTTGAGTGAAGGATAAGCTTCCACTTTGCGTCAAATTTATGTGTGTCTATCAGTTTACTTGCTCATGTGAAGCAGGGTATATTGGCCGCACAAAGCGAACTCATTCGAAGCGCATCTCTGAACCTTACACTACCTGGCTTTTTAAAGGACTACAGAAGTCAGTCAAAAGCTCAATCTTGAGACATCTAATTAGTTCTGATCACTATGGTTTACCAGATGCTTCTTTCAAAATCAATCATACATTTGGGAGAATCGACTTAATGTGAATGCAAATAAAAAACCTTCCCACAGTGATTATAGCTGTCAACCAATGTAAGTCCAAGCTGTGTACAAAAACTGTATGTCCAGCCCCTTATTCTTTCATGGTCTTAACTTTCCTTTCTATCTTCCATTATCTGTCATCTTTTTCTTTCTAATTATAACCATTATTACAATTTTTTTAATTATTCTGTTCTTATCTATTATTTATTTGAAAACATAAATATTGGTAGAAGGGGGCACCAGATATGTATGCACAAAACAAAAAACTGTCATTTCATTTAAATGTGTGAGGGCTATGATACTGCCCGGGTGGCCAGACCGAAGCAGATTCTGTTCTCAATAGCTAAGTAGATAATTGTCTTTACCTTTTTTTTTCTGGGCGACTGTTACATAACTTCCTCTCAATACCTGATTTTTGTGAACAGTTTATGACAAGATGCCATTACAAGCCTTCCGATTATTCAACACCATTCTATCTACTAGACTATTGTTTTTAGTAAATAAAATGGTCTGCGAATACGACTGTACAAGTTATGCAAATGATGTAGTAAGAAAGAAATCTCTTTTTCGAACTATCTTTACTCTTCTTCAAAGACACAATGGACCTCTTTGACTACTTAAAGAATATCATTTAGGTAGCGTATATTCTTTTTTCAGAAGTTTAAACAGCAAGTTTAGATCTATCCATAGAACCAGTAGTTAGCATAATGAACAATCATGTTAATATGGTCGTTTTATTTCATAGTGGCTCTTTAATTACGTATATTTAAGTGGTTTTTGTTCAAACACGTATAGTAAGCTACCTCGACTAATCAAGTCACAATAAATTTAGAGATGGTATTAATTTGTGGGACTGGGGCAAGGAATTATATTAGTGACTTACTTTTAAAACAACCAGTTTGAAAGAGAAGGAATGTACTTTGAGAATTGTCCCAAATGGTACGACCGAGAGTGAGGAGAGTCCGCCCTCCCTCTCCAAATGCTCTCATATGGCCACGCGAATATATAGCCTCTGCCAGAGAAGTCCTACTCACTGCCTTCTCGTGGCACTACTGTTGTTTACGAAAGTGAGAGGACGATAAGCGAATGTCCGGCGCTTTAACTGGGTTGGTGGATGTGGAGGATCCACCTACGGGAGTTGGAAAACCCTGATTCCAAACCAATGGTGCACATGAGCTCCAGTATCCTGAGGGAACAAATGGTGTATGAATCAATCGTTGGTCACCGGCTACCATGGGACTGCATTTCCTTATGATGCTCCACTGCCTTGTGGACTAGACCTTCAGGTCAAAGGCTTTGGGTTTTTCCCCTTAAGAAAACCACCTGCTTCAGCTTGAGGATCTGGACAGAATCACATCTCTCACACAAATCAAATGAGATTAGTGCGGCGCATATTTATCTGGTGCTTCATTGTACCAATATTTGTGTGTTTAAATAAATAAATAAAATAAAACTTTGAGAATTAGTTTTATTAACTTTTAGACATCGCTTAGTCACTTGTCATTTGGAATATTGACGGTGAGTGGTCATTCAGTGTTATCTAGTCGTTATTTTAGTTGCCTCTAAAGAAGGGGGGATAACAACTAACCATCAGTTTAGCCTACGAAAATTCTGTTGACTGAAGGTATTTACCAAGATTTAATCTCCATACACCTGATTGTCAAACGGAAATAATGGAATGGATGATCACAGAAGTCTCAAATACAACCAAATGTTGAAAAGGTACAATGAGCTTTTGGTAACTCGGTAATGTTACGAAATCTCTGTCCAATAATTAATACGATGCACCTACTACAAATAACCATTTTAATCTGATAAGTAGGTTTGCTTAAAAACGCCTGTATTTCACATCTGCCTACAAAATAAGACTATGCCTTCTTAATTGAGTAAATTTAGTGTCTCATAATAAGAGTTCTCTTAAAGATCTTACTTTATGGTATACCTATCGACGAATACAGGTGATTAACAAGCAACTAAAATATTTTCCGAACTTTAATCTGATACCGGTGCAGTTTGACAAAAAAAGACCGCCCAATATTTACCACGAAAATAATTGTATTACAGTACCGAGTTTTACGCATCATTGTTTCTAGTTTCCATGCATCCAACAGATAAATAACTGAGATAAAATGCTACTTGTAATGTGAGCGATCGTCATTTCCCGAATTCCTACACCATGGAACAATACTTACTCCTAAAGGACATACGTATTTAAGGGGGTAACTGGCTGTGACCAGCTATATGGTCATTCCGTGATTTTTGATATTAGATGCATACCTTTCAGACCTTACCGTCCACGAAGAAAATCTATCACGTAAGGCAAAATATGCTACATCTAATAATGGTCTTTACTAGCTCTTTTTTCCTGTGTGAGGATGCAGCGTTGCCGCAGATGATGGTTGTCAGAGAAAACTTACTACCACCATACTCTGATAGTCAGAAACATGAAGTCGTTCTCAGACCTTGTTTGTTGGTCTTAGTTATATGGGACCCCAACCGACTAGTATAAATTAGAAGGATCTTAAAGAACTAGCGTTTCAGCCGTTACTACATGGTCAGGTTTTCACAATAGACAAGCTTAACTATATCACATTAGTATCGACAGTGAAAAAGGACTGTTAAACGAGCTATGTGCTCGCATCTACCAAGTATATATCTCCCGGCTTCTAACGTGAATTACTAGTTAAAACGGTAATTCTGGACTTGTGATATTACTTAATGCATCCAAGGGAAGAAAACAGATGCAGCATTTTAGGTCACACACGAATCCTTAGAATCACCCGATAACTGATCAATCTACAGTAATGTAGTACAATACAGTAGTCGCCACACATATTTTAGGTCAACTCTCCAGTAACATGTGACTGATGGGTGATAATTAACATCACATAGGGTCTTTGTTTCCATGAATTGTGAACAAACAAAAGAACACATACGGTGACATACAAGACGAATGTAAAAGGACTCCGCAGTAGCAAGATAAAGCCATAAAATTGAAGCAAAAAAAGTGAACGACGTATGATTAGTTTTCTTACCCGAAATGCTATAACTAACAGTGCTACAGGGATTGCAGTTTTTGGGGAAAATTTTCTTGGTGCAAACAATTTTGTCCGCACAGGATAACTCTTTTAAATACAATTCTTTGAATTCCGTGATTCTTTTCATCTCAGTCTTCAGTAGACCTGGGACTAATTTATATACAATCCGCTGTAGAGCGACATCAGGACGGAGGGCTTGACCAGGTCTAGTTTCCTGTATCAAACTTTGACATAGTGGACAAATTTTGTGCTCCAATAAATACTTGAGGATGCAGCTTCTGCAGAAGACATGGATGCATTCTGTTAGAACAGTCGCATCTATTAGATAACCACCACACAGTCCACAAATCAGGTGCCCATTGATGGAGGAGAGTTTAACTCCAGGATATGAACTGGTCATTGATAATATCCAATTCCATGCAGATGTCTGTCAAACATCAGTAAACACATACAAGACATCCAAAGAGGTTATTGGGAAGGACTTGTGGCGCGCCAATATTTCAAGTTTGAACCTGTGCGGCTGCAATGTTCAAATGTACGATAATGAGCGGTCGCAAGAAACGAACTATAAAGTATGCAGCATTTGATCCTTGCTCTAGTTCTCAAATCTGAGTTGATTGATGAGCGCATGTGGTGCATTCATACATATTCCTATCCTTGTGCTGTTATGACTTTATAGTTTCAGTTTATGTCGTATGAACGGTTAAATATAATCTCACAGATGCTACTATTCTTTGAAAAAAAAGGACAACGGACCACCAAGATGTTGACATGCTTTCTGTATCAAACGCAATTAAGTGAAAAGTGGTAATGTTACAAATTACTTACACATTAAACTTTTCACTTCTTAAATGACGATGACAAGTGGCATGTATATTTCAATGATAACATATGATCTAACTGGAATCAGATACTCGACCACTAAAAGTGGCGAGCTCGACGTGTTTCGAACAGGCAGTCTTCTGGTTCATAACGCAAACGACAATGTGGACTGACTTCTCGTTTTATAATTATTGTTAATTGCAGTACACCGACGAATATCATCTACCGATGCAGTTGTCATTTTACGGACTGCTAAATCTTATCCTACGAACTGTAGCTCCGTGTATGTGAATTCAGATCAACTGATTGTTAATTGGTGATATATTTTATACCAAGGCTTAGTAGAACATGTTCATACTTCATTATTCTTTATCATTATATTATATCGGCACCACAGATCGATATCTGTTCTACCGTGTTTATTTTCACAACATATTTCGTTGCCATATTCATGATTGACAGACGATTTAATGCTGTTCTAACGGTATTCTGTTTCACTCACATGAGCGTATTATTTTATTATTCGGACAGTCATAACATAAATGTACGTTTAATTTCTGCAAGCTTACTGATTTGCTCATAATTGCGTGCTAACACTTTCTTTTTTCGTCCAAATCTTTACGACATTCATGTATCTCTTTATACATAAGTAAGGCACTTCTATATTATACACTCACTTCTCCCATGACACTGTACTTTACCAGATATGTGGAGATAGGACCTTAAAACCTATTTTGTAAATAATGTTTCATAGTTTTCGCATGTATTTTCATATTCTGTACATTAAGCATTAAACAATTGTACTTGTTGTTTAAGTGTATTACTTTGAACACTTGTAACTTGACTTCCTTCCGTTTTGAGTACAACATATCGTGGCACTGTTACTGCTCCTCAATAAATACACTCTAATTCTAATCTGCATCGTTCTGCCATGTCTGCTAATATGTTAAATGAAATATTAATTGCATACCATCTCCATTTATAGACAATCGTGACATTCTTATTGAATTCTACGCTTGGTAAACCTATTGGATCTATATCGTCCATATTGGGATTACTAATCTTTTATAATTGTGGATTATTTAGACCAAACTCAACTGAACACGCTATAGCCTGAAGAATTAAGTAACGTCCCTTATTTTTTATCTGTGTGTAATTAACTTATTAACTGTTAATTGTTATATAAACTTTAGACGTAATATTTTTGTTGCTAATTTTTGTTATCATACGTTTTGGTCCACCACAATTATTTGGTGAGCCCTAGTATTTTATTATCTCGCATTTATCCCATTGTTATATTGTTTATTCGCTCATTGTATGACACTTTTGCTCATTTTTAACCTAATGTACTCCCCCACCTAAGCTTAGTGATTTGGATCCTGTTCCTGTAACTACTCTTAGTTCATCACCTAACCTTACTGACAGTGTATTTAGTGCAGTCAATGCTATTTCGGAATTTAAGCTTCCACCTTATGGAGTAAATAATCCTAGAATCTGGTTTGCTCAAATTGAAGCCTTATTTCAGTCCAGGGGCGTACGTTCCCAAGCATCTAAGTACGCTTATGTAGTTGGCTCACTCCCGATCGAAATTGCGGCCGAAGTAGGAGACCTTATCGACCAGGTTCCTGAAACCGAGCCATATGATAAATAAAAAGCGGCTTTAATTCAGCGAACAACAGTCTCAGATGAGACAAGATTACAACAACTTTTGAATGCATGTGATCTGGGAGATAAAAGACCTTCCCAACTACTCCGACACATGAAACAACTTGCCGGCCCTTATAAACTAGACGAAGCCCTCCTCAAACAAATGTGGTTCAACCGATTACCACGCAGTGTCAGACAAATTTTAAGTGCTTTGGGGAAGTCCTCCTCCCTCGATGATTTAGCTGAAATGGCAGATAAAGTAACGGAAGTTTGCCATGATAACCATTATATAAATACGACGCAGCCGTATGGAGCAGCTGATGTCGGCTACTTAAACTCTATTCAACGACAATTATCTAAATTAACAAACCAGCTTGAGGCACTACAGACCACTGTAGCAACGGTGAAGGCCAGACAATTAAGACCCCCACGCAGACAGAGATCACGTTCTAGACCAAGATCTCGTTCACCTAAACGAACATCCGAAATTTGTTGGTATCATACTAAATTCGGCACAAAAGCACGGCGTTGTACACGCCCGTGTGCATTCCTCTCACCCACCACTGATAACCAGGGAAACGGTCCGGCCAGGCAGTAATGGCGGCGCCTGACTCTGGCCACAGCTCAAGCCGTCTATTTCATGTCAGGGATCGTATTTCGGGCTCAGAGTTTCTAATCGATACTGGAGCCGAAATAAGCATACTCCCAATTCATCTTTCCCGACGACGGCACTCTCAACACGCTAAATTATCATTAGTGGCAGCAAAGAATTCTATTATTAAAACGTATGGCGAGCAATCACTCATCTTGGACATCGGTCTCCGTAGACGTTTTACATGGGTTTTCATTGTCGCAGAAGTTAAACAACCCATCCTTGGAGCCGATTTTCTTAGTAACTACAATCTCCTTGTCAACATGAGAAAAAAGAAACTTATCGACATGAGTACAAGTGTACAGGTCAACGGAACAATCACCTGCAATTATGAAATTTATGGTGTCCGATTGCTTAGACCTGATAGTACAACTTTTACCGATCTTCTATCGAAGTATGAATGTATAACGAAAGCCCATTATCAAACTGAAAACTCCACGCACCATGTTCAACATACTATAACCACCACTGGTCCACCTATCTGCGCCAAGGCGAGAAGACTACCACCCAATAAGTTGCAGTCCGTCAAAAGAGAATTTGAACATATGATGCAACTAGGGATAATCCGACAGTCTAATAGCCCTTGGGCCTCGCCACTGCACATGGTTCCCAAAAAAGATCAAGATTGGCGCCCTTGTGGAGATTATAGACGTTTGAATAATCAGACAGTTCCAGACAGATATCCTATTCCTCATCTACATGATTTTTCACTAAACCTGCACGGTAAACTGATTTTTTCAAAACTAGACTTAGTCAGAGCGTATCATCAGATCCCAGTGGCACCTGAGGATATTGAGAAAACAGCCGTAATCACACCTTTTGGGTTGTTTGAATTCTTGAGGATGCCATTTGGGCTTAAGAATGCTGCGCAAACATTCCAACGATTTATGGATGAAGTCACGCGAGGTTTAGATTTCGTATTTGTTTACATCGATGACGTCCTAATCGCTAGCTCTTCCTTGGAAGAACATCTTCAGCACTTACACGCTCTCTTTGAGCGTTTCAAAAGTTATGGCGTCGTGATTAACCCCTCAAAGTGCATATTCGGTGTTTCAGTGTTGGAGTTCCTCGGTCATTACATAGACTCTCAGGGAATTAAACCCCTTCCACAGAAGGTAGAAGCCATAATCAACTACCCTGAGCCTACTTCTGTTAAGGCACTACGTCGTTTCCCGGGAACATTAAATTTTTATCGACGATTTCTGCCTAATTGTTATTTATTTATTTATTTATTTAAACACATATATATTGGTACAAAAGGGCACCAGGTACATATGCGCCACACAAAATAATGAAAGTAGGAAGAGAAGGGATGAAAAGATAAGGCGGACTAAAATGTACAACCAGAAGACTCTTTCAAATAGGAAAGTAAGAACCATACTTTATGTAGAAAGTAAAAGAAGGTTGCAGCAGGATCGCCACTGGTTTCTATTCTGAGCCATATCTGATAACGTCTCTAGCCACTGTGTTGCACCATCTCTCGGACCCCAACCAGGGAGTCGTGAAGGACCAACAGAAGCTAGCCCTTTGCAGCTTTCTTTCATGCCACGACACCATGTCATACACTGACCTCCTCTCCGCTTTTTCCAACCAGTCCCAGGGTCGGCAAATAATGCACGACGTGGAATTCTCTGGGACGACATTCGTAAAACATGTCCAAGCCACCGAAGTCGGTGTTTCAAGATGGTGACACCAATTGAATTATCGTCTCTGTGCCCGAACACACGATGCCGAACCTCTGCATTACTAACATGGTGTTGCCACTGGATGTCAGCAATCCTTCGGAGACAACGATGATCGAACACAGAGAGACGTCTAACATCCTCAACTCGGAGAGGCCAGGTTTCACAAGCATAGAGCAAAACTGCTCTCACCGACGCGTTGTAAATCCGACTTTTTACAGCCAGACTAACATCACGAAGGCGCCAAAGATGGCCCAGATTGACAGTCTCAGCTGATGTGTCTTTGATGGGGCATGCAATCGCCCATCGAGTGAACCTGTCCACCACAGTGAGAATGTGAGTGAAAGAGTTTGAAGGCGGCTGGGGGCCAACTAAATCCAAGTGGATATGTTGAAAACGTTTGTCAGAGATAGGAAACTCCCCAATTGGACTAATAGTATGCTTTTGGATCTTGCTACGTTGACACTGAAGGCAACCCCGTGTCCATCGTTTGATATCTGAATTGATTTTGGGCCAAACAAAACGTTCAGTTATCAGCTTTGTAGTAGCTCGGATACCCGGATGTGATAAACCATGCAAGTGTTGGAATAACTTTAGTCGACAAGCCTGAGGGACAAAGGGGCGATTATTGCCTGTTGAAGTGTCACAAATGATGGATGCATCTGAGAAAGGAATGGGTACCGATCTGAGATTCAAGCTAGACTTTTCTCTACAGACCTTC